GGTGCAACGATGATGATGATGATGATGTGCGGGAAATAATATGATTAAAGAACGAAAAGGAAAGAAAGAGATAGAGATAAAAGTGACAGAGAAAAAAAGAAAAAGATAGATAGATAGATACGTAGAGAGAGAGAGAGAGAGAGAGAGAGAGAGAGAGAGAGGAAGAGAGAAAATTTTCAAAGACAAGAGAAATTAGGTAATAATCTAATAATAACGCGGAAAGGTAATAAAAAGGTTATCCGCCGCCACTCTCTCTCTCTCTCTCTCACGAGCTTTTAAAGCAAACGACGCTTCTTCTTTGTTACCTTCGTCACTCATCATATTCTTTAAAAGGATGAAAGATTTCAACCAGAAACCAGAGAAATTACTACTTGTAAAGCGATCCTCCCTCCTCACAACCTTTTTTCCCCCTCCTTCCCCCCTCCCCGCCTTTTTTCTTCTTTCATCCTTACCACCCGCATTTCCCTCCTCCCCCCCAAAAAAAAAGAAAGAAAGGAAACAACCCGCCAAAATTAGTTTAAAAAAAAGACAAATTTAATTTCACTCCTTTTTAGTTTTTTTTCCCTTTTTTCTTTTTTTGTCTACCACCACTTTTTACTTTTACCTTTTATGATAAAAAAAAAGGAACCATAGCGACAAAACCTCGTGGAATTAATAGAAGAAGAAGAAAAAGAAGAAGAAGAAGTGGTGGTGGCGGAGGCTGCGGCTACGACTGCGGCTGCTGCTACTACTTCTGCTGCTGCTGCTGCTCCTGCCGCCACCGCCGCCGCCGCCGTTATCACCGACACTGGCTTAAAGCCAAAACGTAAATTTTTAACATTAAAAACAAACAAACAAACAACATAAATGTTGTTTTTATAATGGAAAAAATATTTTGTTAATAACCGAAAGGGAAATAAAATAATTTTTTTTTTTTTTTTTTTTTTTTTACTTTTCTTATTTGAAATGACACCGAGCTTCGTTCTTAAGATAAAAAAAAAAAAAAAAAAATTTATATATATATATATATTTTTTTTCTTTTCTTTTCAAAGTGTGTGGGAGGCGGGTGGGGGCCGCGGAAGGAAAATACTAGAAAGGGGTCAATGTGCAATAATGGATAGGTCGACTTGTATGAGTTAGCATCTGGTGTGTTCTTTGGTAAAAGCCATAAACCTTTTCTCTCCCCGTTATAATTTAGTTATAAATTTTTATTTTTTTATTTTTTTTCCTTTACCTACGAAAGGCTTTTTCCGTTATTTTTTGTCTCTCTTCCTCATCTTCTTCTTCTCCTTTTATCTTTTTTTTTTTTTTTCATTATTATTTTTTGTTATTATTATTATTTTTATTTTTTTTTTTTGTAATTTTTAAAAGTTGTGAAAGAATGAGAGAGAACGAGACATAGAAAAGGATAGATAGAAAGGAAAATATTATATTTGATACGATCTGATGCCACGTCGTTAATAAAATAAATTCTTTTGTAATTTTCCTCGCGTGAGAGAAACCCTTGGTAAATTTAATACGGAAAAGGAAATGGCGGACGTTTGTTGCTTTTTTTTTTTTTCCTGTTTTTTCGCGACTTTGTTCGAACGATTTAAAACCGGTCGGACCTGAGTCAAACACTCAAGAAGAACTTTTACGACTTTTTCGGCGCGAAATGACAATTGAAAAGTTCCGGCAGCATCCGATTCGTAGAAAACTTTTCGAAATTTATTTCAAAGTCGAAAATTTTTAATTAATCGCAAACAAACGTGGCAGGAGCAGTTGTCTTACTAATCGCGACCCATACCAAAGCTTTTTCGCGCGAATTTGATGTGGCACCAACAGCGACAACGACAAAACATAAACAATCGACAGAAACTTACCGAATAACTGATTTCCTGTTCCAAAATCCCTTTGTTTTCATCGTTGTCGCTACAGCAAGCGAGAAGAGTCGGAAACAGGATCGCCGACAAGTCCGGATTGCTAAAATAGGGAAATGGTAAATTGCAAAGCTGCTGGAGAACGGTCGGCGTCGATCCCGACTGGAGTATCATCTGAAAAATAAAAACAAAAGTGAAAAAAAATCAATGATAATGATAATGATGATAAATATCCCGATGAAAAAATTCTGTCATGACGATGATCATCATTTTTCGATCATTTTAATCGTTTAATAAAAAAAAAAAATTTCTTTCAACCTTTTTCGAAAAAAAAAAAAAAAAAAAAAAAGGATTCGGTTAAAGAATCAACAGGTGTAAGAAATAGAATTTCGACAAACGTACAGCAGCAGGTGAACCAACCTAACAAAATTTTTATAAAAATTTTCACTTTATTTATTATTATCATCATCATCATTTTTTTTTCGTAAAAAAAATGCGGGACGACGTAAAAAAAAAACAAAAACCCGGAAAATCGTGACAATTTAACCTGAATTGTTGTCACGTACCTAAATGAAAATTTTCCTTGGTTGGATACCTGTTAACAAGTTGCCAACATTTTGAAAGAAATCAAAGAAAAAAATTTTTTTTTTGCACGTGTCGTGACGTGCAAAAAAAAAAATCTCGACGTGAAATCAAATAAAAAATAAAAAAAAAAATTTTTTTTCTCCTCCTTTTTTTATCTTATTTTCCTATGACCTCTTCATCGAAATGACGCCTTCATCACGAATACTTTACTCGTATTCGGGTACCCGAGTGTACTCAGGTACCTTATTTATAAAGACCTCACCTGCGGTACTTTAAGACAGATGAAATGAAAAAAAAAAAAAAAAAAACACATTCGAGATGTAAAAAATGATTTTTTTTTTTATCTATTTCTGGTCACCTGCTTGTAATACTCGACTAAGATAAACATCGATGATGACTCGCGTTCGGGTAAATTGATAAATTGTTAATCGACGGTTATCTCGAATCGAAAAAAAAATCGATTTATCGATCGATCGATACATGTATTGAAAAAAAAAAAAAACCTTTTTGCCATTTTTCTCTCTTTCCTTTCCCCCTCCTCTTCCCTTCCGAAAAAAAATGTAAATAATTTAAATTAATTAACGAAATGAATAATTTTTTAAACTTTTCACTCTCTCTCCCCCCCCTCTCTCTCTCTCTCTCTCTTTTTACGGTAAAAAAATAATAATAATAATAACAACAACGAAGAAGACAGCCGCGTGCGCGATTGTACGTAAATAAATAAATAAATAAATAAGAAGTTTAAAAATAAGATGAAATAAAATGAAAAACGTGGCATTAGTTTGTGAAAACGTCGCGTCGTGTACGGGGGAGGAGGAGGGGGCGTCGTCGTCGCAAACAAAAAACGATAAACAAATCTTGTAAAAATGTCGATCAATTAAAAGTCGAAAGAAATTAGTAATCAACGCCAATCAACCTTTTTGAAAAAAATTTTTCTTCTTTTTTTCCTTTTTTTTTCCTTTTTTTTTTTAATGTTTTAATTAAATTATTGAAAAGCTTTCAAGAAATATTTTTCTTTTTCCCTCCTGGAAAAACAAACAAACAACAACAACAACCCGAAAACCAAATAATAGACGATAAAAAAAAAAAAAAAAAATTTATTTAGCAATGATTTCTTTCGTTTTTTTCATCATCATCATCATCATCATCATCATTATTATTATAAACAAATGATTTCGTTACCCGTAATAATAATAATAATAATAATAATAATAATAATAATAATAATAATAATAATAATAATAATAATAATAATAATAATAAAATTTTATTTGTTTAAAAAAAAAAAAGAAAAACTTTTTTAAGGAGACGTCAAAAAAAATTTTTTCCCTTTTTATTTATATAAAAAAAGGAAAAAAAGAGGAAAAAAAGAGGAAAACCTTTCAACCTATGTCAAAAAAAAAAAAAAACGGAAACGCAGAATTTTATTATAAAGGGAAAACGAGGGAGAAAAAAAATAAAATAAAATAAAGAAAACGCGAGCGTAATTCGATGTCAAGCTTAAACGCGTGCGTTTTTTTTTCTTTTTTTTTTTTTTTTAGCCAAAGTAAAAAACGTTTCGACGATAAATTTCACATCCTTTCGCGGGACGAATTTTCCAACGAAATTATATGTTTACTTTTTAAGGGAAATGATTGAAATGATGACGTCATTATTAAAAAGGCGCGAGCGGGTACATTTTCAAATTTAAAAAAAAAAAAACAAAACAAAAACAAACAAACAAAAAACCAAACCTTAAAAACAATCGAAAAAAAATCTCGTTTAATTGAGTTTATTTTTGTTTCCCCCCCACCCTTCCACCTCCTCCCCCCCCCGTGTGGGTTAAATTAAAACCGAGACTTTTTTCCTCCTCCTTCTCCTCCCATCCTCCTACCCCTTTACAGTCCTTCTCCCGTTTTATTTTTTTTCCTCTCTCTCTCTGTCTCCCTTTTCTTCACTTACGGTTTATAAAGCATTAAGATAACCTGGCGCCAATAACGTCGACAACAACGTTTGTTACGGTTTCTTTTTCTTCCATTTTTTTTTTTAAAAACATAAAGCCAACAACAACAACAACACAAAAGCAGTTAAATTGAACCGAATAACATAAATTATCCACTATAAAACAAATAAAACAACCATAAATAAATAAATAAATAAAATTAAGTAAAAAAAAAAAAAAAGGAAAAAACGACTGGAAGAAAGCAGTAAAAAATCAACGATAAAATTATTTTGCTGATTTCACGGCAAAAAAATTTTTTTTTGTATCGAAACGGCAAAAAATCAAAGGAAAGAAAAAAAATAAAATTAAATGTCAAAAAAAAAGTGTCAGCAGTAACACTTCGTTTGCCGCCATTTTCCCATCTCTCTATCTCTCTTTTATTTAAAACGCGAAAACTATCAGAATTGTGCCGAATCCTAAAAAAAAATTTTTTTTCATTTGTAACTTTCCAACAAATTTTTTTAATTGTTTGTTTGTAACTTTCCAACAAACAACAAAATAAATAACCTTTTCCTTCAATTATTATTATTATTATTACTACTACTAATTATTTATTTTTCAGGTGTTGACGATAAATTTTAATTTTTTTCTTTTTCTTTTTTTTTTATTGGGGGGGGATTTTCGACATTAATATTTCAACATATCTAATATATGTTTGTGAATGTGTATCCTTCGCATTTTTTTTTTTTTTTTTCGTATTAAAACTTGATTTTCCTTCCATTTTTCTTTTTTTTTTTTTTTTTTTCTTTTTCCTTTGGCTACTTGACATAATTTATTTTCATTTTATTTTTCCCCTCCCCCAACCCCCCGTTTTTTTTTCTTTTGGCAAAAAAAAAAAAAAAAAACTAAAATTTTCATAAATTATTACGACGAATTTAATTTTTAATTCAAAACCTAATAATTTATTGTTAAATTTTTTTTTTTTTCTTGTCTTTTTCTCTTTCCCTCTCCTCTTTTTTTGATCTCCTCTCTCTCTCTCTCTCTTCTTCCCCCCTCTCACCATCGCATAAAAATACGCAGAAATACGTTTTTTTCAAATGACGTTAAGAAACGTAAAAAAAAAAAAAAAAAAAAAACTCAAACGAATAAACAACAATCAGAGAAACCTTTTCTTTTTTTTTTTTTGATTACATTTTTTGATTCCTGTTCATCCCTTGAACTAATTTTCTTTCCACTACCCCCTTCTTCCCCCGACCGAACGAAACAAACCATTTTCTAAAAAACCTTTAAAAAAAATCGAATAAGGAGTAAAAATAACGATAATGATGATACCAATAATAAAACTCACCAAAAAGTAAAAAGGGGGGACGCGGGGGCGTAGGGTAGAGTAGTTGCACTCGGGAAGTTAATCTCGGGGTCCGCGGCGCTGTGGCAGTAAAAACTAAAAAAACTAAAAAACTAAAAAATACCTAAGAAGCCATTAATCAGGCGAATCCAGTCTTTTTCTTATCGAAAAGGCGCCAACCTTCTTCTTTTACTCATTTGATCATTTTACAGCTCTCGTCATTTCAATTACTTGTTTTTTTTTTTTTTTTTTTTTTTTATCATTTTCATCCCGGAGCAAATCGACCTCACGACAATATTATCATCATCATCATCATTACTACCATTATTATTATTATTATTATTATTGTTTCGGAGTCCCCCAAATTGACGAATAAAAAAAAAAAAAAAAAAAAAACCCTTCCCGAACTTGATTTTGAAAATCTTATTCGGGCGGTCACACTCACTCACTCCCCCACACAAATTCCAAAGATTAAAAAAAAAAAAAAACAAAAAAAAAAAATCCTGTTTTCGAATCAAGAATGAGTCATCATCATCATCATCATCATCAACGTAATCGTACCTGAGAATCCAGAAAATTCTCTTACGTTTTTTAAAAACGTTTTTTTTTTTTTTTTTTTTTTTTCAAATTAAAATTTTAACTTACTCCTACGCATTCGACTTAAACATGCGACGATAAATTTTCGCGCCAACAAAATTTCAATGTAATAAATTTAAATCGTGCAAATAATAATAATAATAATAAAAAGGGCAAACCTTAAAACCTTGAATTTTCGATTTATAGTTGATTTACTTGAAATAAAAAAAAAAAAAAAAACATGAGCAAGAAAACCGTAAATAAATTATCGAATAATTAACATTTAAACAAACGAGTGCGTTAAGGGAGAAAGAACCTTTCCTCTTCCCCTTACCCCTTCACTCCCCCCTTCCCCGAAAAACGTTTTAAATATTTAAATCGAAAAAAAAAAAAGAAATTTAAACGTACCTGATTATCCCGATGCTGTACGGCGAAATATCCGACGACGTAAACGACTTCGTGCAACAGAGTTTTTTCACGATCGTGGCAACAATACCACAAAAGGTAACTTGCTATGTGCCTGAACTGCAGAGATATACCTTCGGCACCTAAAATGGTCTGGAAAAACCCCCCAAGAAAAAAAAAAAAAAAAAAGAAAAATTAATCATTTAAAATTAAATAATCGATGCATCAAGGTCGAAATACAAATTTGACAACATTTTTTTTTTTTTTTTGCTTTTCCGACCGGAAATGCTTCGGAATTTTATTGCAAAAACAAACAAACAAACGAACAAACAAACAAACAAACACGAATCGAAATTAATAAATCATCGACGACCTTGTTATTCTAATAAGATTTCAAATGGAAAATGACGACGTCGACATGTTTTTTAATTTTTCTTTTTCGAAAAAAAATTTTTTTTTTAAAGGGAGTTTTCCCAAACTCGGAAAATCCACAAAAAATAAATAATAATGATGATAAACAATCTCGATCGAAGAGATGAGACGAAAAACTTTTCGAGAAAATTTAATTAAAAATAAATATAAACAAATAAATAAATAAATAAATATGAATTTGTTTTATTATTTATCGGTCGGTTAATTGAAATCAACTCCGAATGCAAACAACAAAATCATCATCCGAACCGCAAGCAAAATGTCTTCCTTCTCCCCGAAACAAAAATTTTTTTCTTTTTTTTCCTCACCCCCCCTTAATCCCCTCCCAACCTCCTCCCTGTAACTCTTCGAATGTAAACAACCGGGTTAATCATTTGTATTTATCTTGTCGTAATCAATTTTTTATTTTTTATTTTTTTTGAGAAGTAAAATAATAAAAAAAAAACCAATCAAATCTTTTTTTAAAAACTCTTAATTGAAATTAGTTTTTTTTCCTTCTAATTTTTTCCCTCCTCCTCCTTTCCCCCTTCCCCCCGTTTTGTTTGCTCTTTTCTTTCTTTCTTTCTATCCGTTCTAGAATTTTCCTGACTTTCCTTTTTTTGCGTAAAAAAAAAATCAAAACGATTACGAACCAAAAGGAAAACATTCTCGCAAGTATCCACAAATACTCGGCGTTTTTTCCATTTTCCTCCTTTTCAAAATCTCCAAGTATTATTATTATTATTATTCGTCTTTCATTCCAGTTTTTAAAATAATAATTTCATTTCAATTTAAGACGAACGTACACGTAATAGGAGGAAGAGAGAGAGAGAGAGAGAGAGAGAGAGAGAGAGAGAGAGCGTTTGAACGCAAAAGCAAAAAAGAAAAAAACAAAAGCCGACAAAGAAAAATAGAAAAGAAAAGAAAAAAATTACAAAGCGCAATGAAAGACGAAAATAATAATAATAATAAATCGGAAATTATTTAATTAAAAATGTCGAAACGCAAACAAAAAAAAAATGAATAGAAAAACCGTTGTTGACTTTTCTAAATATAAACTCGATTTTGCTGCCGTTAATGCAATCGGGGTGAAATTAGGTTATTACATATCGTGCATCTTTTAAATTTAATTTAATAATACGTTCACTTTTGTTACTCATCATCATCATCATCATCATCGTCGTCGTCGTCGTCGTCATGTTTTCCTCCCCGACATAACATAAATAAATAAATTTTCCTGCTTTTTTTTTTCAAGTATTTGCACGATAAATCATCGACGTTATGTTTTTTCCCCCTTCTCCCCCCGTTCGCGTTTCAAATTATAAAATAAAATCGTCGTATGATATCCGGTTTTGCCACCCAATCGGTCTCGCGAGGCAAAGAGAACGGTGATAATAATAATGATAATAATAATTACTTGAAACATTTGAAGATCGAGTTCGGCGACGGATCGAAGGAATCTCATGGTTCCAACGGCGACTCCGATCGTGTGACTCGGTAACGTCGGCGGTACTGCATCTATCAACCTCGGCGGCGCTCCCTGATGCAACAGCATCCCATATAATATGGACACGGCTCCGACCAATTCGGTGACTTGAAGAGTTGCTAAAAGTTGTGTCGGATCTTCGGTACCCTGACGAACGGTTTTGCACCTTTTGAAGGGAATTCGAAAAAAATGAGCGCCTGAGAAAAAAAATTTTCAAAAAAGAAGGTTCTAGACGTACCTCGCCGTCAAACTGGTCAATAATTCGACGGTGCTGAGTAAAAATTGCGCCGCTGACAAATCGCTATCTATCGGATCCCTCACGGATTTACAATATCTCGTCAATTTGTCGACGATTCCGACGCTGACGGTGTAACTGAAACCAAAACAAAAAACTTTGTGCGGTAAAAAACGTTTAAAATAAAATCAAAACAACAAACACCAAAAGTCGTCACATTCTTTCTGAACAAAAAAAAAAAGGATAAAAAAATTTAAATTAAATTAAATTAATGAAAACTTTTCAAACGCCGAGCGTGACGTTCCTTCGTGAAGTTCAAAGTCCCAAACTTTTAAAAAGGAGAGAGAGAAAGAGAAAAACCAAAAATGGCGAAGAAGGATCACTGCCAAAAAAAAAACCACTCGTTTAAATTTAAAAGTCCCCCCCCTCTTGGATTTGATTGTACTCTTCTCCTACTCCTCCTCTCATGATACCTTTTTTCAATAAACAATAAATAAATAAATAAATAATTTTTTTTTTCGACTCCTTTTAAGTGAACATAATCAAAAACATCCCAACCAGACGAAAATTATCATAAACCAACATAATTAGAATTAATGTCGTGACTCTATCTGTCTCTCTCTCTCTCTCTCTCTCTCTCACTCAGACAAGTCATTTGCGACCAAATCTAAAGACACGTAAATCGAATAGTCAATAAAATGTTTTTTTTTTTTTTCCTTCGTGTTGTTTTTTTTGTTTTTGTCTTTTTTTCTCTCGGCTATTTTTGTAATTTCAGATCAATTATCACGCCGAAAAAGTTTTGTTTATTCGGACGTTCGACTTTAAACAAAACAAGAATGAGGAGGAAGGGGGTAGTAAGTCAATCGGTGGGTATTAAAGGTGGTGTTGTTACTCACACGCGCACACATTCACTCACAAAGACACACACACACACACCCAAGCCAACACGCAATCATTCGTTATACATACACACACACATTGTTACCCGCACAACCGCGTACGTGACACGAACGGCTTAGCTAAAATACTCTATATATAGTTTTCTTCTTTGTCCACGTAAAATAAGAAAAAAAAAAAAAAAAAATTTTTTTTTTTTTTTTTTTTTTTTCCAAGCAATGAAAAGCATTTTCTTTTTTTTTTGTCCCTCAAAACTAATGGATCATCGATCCATGTTCCTTTCGTGTGATAATCAAATTCATAACGTAGGCTTGAGAGGGTTGACACAGAGAGAGAGAGAGAGATAAAAGTATGGGGAACCCCCGCCCGAAGTCCATTAGCAAATTACGCCGCGACGCCCCCTTATGCTTTGCAATGTGACTGTGCTTGCTTGCTTGCTTGCTTTTCACTGACCGAGTCTTTTATATAATATTTTTCCTTTGTGTCGATTGCCACATGTTCGTTCGTTGTCGTCGTCATCGTCGTCGTCGTTCCTTTTTTTTTTTTTTTCCTTTTAACTTCCTCGCGATGGATGATGATGAAAGCTCAACGTCAACGATTTTAATTTTCGGTATTGAAAAGTTTCCTCAAATAAAAGTTTTTTTTTTCTTTCTCTCTCTTTCTGTTTGTTTATTAATTCCTGTCGAAACGTTTTTTTTAAATTCTATTTCTCTCATTACCTCCTGCCAGCATGTCAATTCTCTCTCTCTCTCTTTGTTTTTTTCCATTTCTCCAAGATGCCAATATTAAAAAAAAAAAAAAAAAAAACAACGCACGAAATGAAAAATTAAAAAGCGGTTGTTAAATATAAATAACCGGGCACAGGTTTAATAATCATTAGCACCTGGTCGATCAAATCCATCCAGATATTTTTTACATGTCGGAAATGTTATTTTTTGTTATAACAAATCCCTCCCCGTACAACTCCCCCTCCCCTCCCCACACCACACCAAACGTTAAAAACATTAATTTCGTTTTATTTAAATAAAAAGAATAATGATGACTTTTTAAAGTTAAAATTACACAAAAAAAAATAAAATAAATAAAAAAGATTAATAACTACAAATTTTAAAACCTTGTAATTTTAGTTTTTCCTTTTTTTTTTTTTTTTGTATTTTAATCGAAACGACGATGACGACGACGACAACAACAACAACAAACAACAAACAACAACAACAACAATGACCGAATAAAAAGAAGAAATTATAAAGTTTTTTTTTTTCCCAAAACGCTACACAACTTTTTAAATCCGCGCGACATTTTTTTTTTTCCTTTTTCACTTTCTTCCTTTGTTTTCCTTTTATTTTCCTTTTTTTTCGTTAAATAAAGATTAGAAAAAAAATTTAAAGATTGTAAAATACCCTCCATGGTAAAGTTTCAAAGGAAAAACGCAAAATTTACGTAACAATTTTTCGCCCTCCGTAAAATTTAAAATTTAATTATTTGAAAGCCGCAACAAAAATTTTCCAACTTTTTGTTTTTTTTTTTCGTCCGCACAAAAAAAAAAGAAAAATTAATAAACGCATCAACCTTTTGACCTTTTACTACCTTTTTTACTATTTTCCATTTTTACTCATAAGTTTTTCCTTTTTTACCGTCACGAAAAAAAAAAAAAATAGAAAAATTTAATTAAAACCAAAAAAAAAAATTTTTTTTTTGGAAAATTCTCAAAAAATATTTTTGAACATTTTCACAGCCGATGTTTGTCGAAACCTTTTCTCTCTCTCTCTCTCTCTCTTTCTCTTTTTTTCTTCAACTTTTCCCATACTCACTTCAAATTTTTTGTATATTTATTTATTTTCGAGTACCTTCTCTCTCTCTTTTTTTTTTTTTAATTTAGGGAAGAAAAAAAAAATTCGAATAAGAACGAGAGGGTAAAATAAAAAAAAGGGAAAATATAAAAGAGAGAGAGAGAGAGAGAAAGGTTTGGTTTAAAAATAAAATAAAATTACTTTTGCAAATGACATTATGAAAATATATTTTTCAGGATAAATTTTCCACAAAAAAAAAAAAAAGAAAAAAGAAAAATTTACTCAGAACTCGATTTCGTTCAATATTTTCTCTTTTTCATTTATTTCTCTCTCTCTTTCTCTTCATCTACCCTTATCCTTTGTCTCTTTTTCTCTTCGAATGAAACTGATGGCAAAACAAAAACAACAACAACAACAAGATAAACAAGTATAAACGGCATGAATATTTGTTGACTTTAGAAGCTCGTGAGAGTAAAAAAAAAAAAGAGCGGAAAAAAAGTAAAGAGAGAGAGAGAGAGAGAGAAAAGGACGCACAGAAAGAAGTAAGAGAGGGGATGCTGCGTGTAACAAAGGGGAAAAAAAGAAAAAAAAACACAAAGCGGTGAAAATAAGAGAGAGAAAGAGAAAAAAGAAAAAAAAAAAAATTAAAAAGCAAACAATATTTTAAAATGAGCAAACTAAAACTCTCTCACATTGTTTATCTATTTTTCTATATTACAATGCCATTTTCTTTTATTATAAGTAAACCTTTTCAAATTAATAATAATAATAATAATAATAATTCGTTCGTTTCTTCTCATTAGCAATCGCAATCATTATTATATTGTTTGTTTTTCAACCGTACTCGTTTTTCTCAAAGAGTTAATTGATCGACGCCGAAGAAAAATACCCAAATCGATCACGACAACCACAAACTCTCTCTCTCTCTCTCACATCCTAGATAAATTCACATTCACAAAATCCACTCACAAATCGAGCCCCTCGAATCGAAAACTCGAACGAGAAAAAAAAAAAACAAAAATTGTTGTGTTGGTACGCATGAGTACCGGCCCGAACAAGTACGATGACACCTGAGAGGTTTAATTAAACAAAACTTACTTAATTGATACGTAAAGAATTAAACAATCAAAATAATAATAATAATAATAATAATAATAATAATGATAAAATCCATTAATTATTATGAGCGCCGACCGAAAAAAAAAAAAAAAAAAACAATGGCTATGAATAAAACAAAAGTTGAATTTTCATTAACCCCAAAAAAAATTTATAATTACAAACATGGCGCTAATGCAAAATCAAATTCCATGAACCAAAAAAAAAAAAAAAAAAATTTTTTTTTTTCTTCATACTTCTTCGCACCGTCGCAAACCTCCTCCCATATTTATTTTTTCGCACCGAATAATTTTAATAATAATAATAATAATAAGAGAATTGTGAACCTTACAATCATTGATGAGAAATTAAAATAAACTTTTTATTGTAATTTTTATATGGCGAAATCGTTCGCGGGAAATTTTGTCACGTGGAAAAAGAACGTCTCGCATTTTATAAAGGACACCACCACCACCCATAAATCTTTCTTTTTCATTACAAACAAATCGAGTAGAAACCTGGAATAAGTACAAGACCACACCGACCCACCCGACAGAAGAGGAGAATTTAAGATTTACCGTGATTAAAAGAAATATAGCTAAGGAATAGTACAACCACATTTCAAGACCGGTTACGACAGCAGATCCATGCCCAGTTCTGTATCATCAACAAATCCACACTGATAAAACTGTACTAGCCAACAAACCTGACATCATCCTGAGGCACAATGTGGAAAAATGGTGTAAGCTAATTGAAGTATCCGTACCGGCGGAAAAAAACACGAGACAGCCAAAGAAGCAGACAAAAGGCTAGAATGTGAGGAACAAAAACAGAAACGATTCATCGTGGGAGCAGCACTGGGAGCCATGCCACCACATTCAATAAAAGGAAATTTAAAGACGATTTTGAAGAACCTAAAAGAAGAAGAAACCATCCGGGAAATCGCACTATGTGGGACGGCCCACATTCTTCGGAAAATACTCTATAAATAGCACCAACGAAATTCGAGCATTTATCCCTAAGGAATCGTCGGGTAGAAATTTGGAATAAATGCTTAAAAACCCCGATAAATAAGAGCCTTGTCGTATTTAAAAATGAAATAATAATAATAATAATAAAAAAAGACGAAAACCAAATCATTACAAAAGGTAAACGATAGGCTCGCACGTGAATAAAAAAAAAAAAAAATTTTAAATCTTAAGTACCGACCCGAACCATGTTCACGGACTCATGAATTCCGGCGCCACAAATAAAAGCAAAAAAAAAAAAAAAAAAATTTCAATGACGTTTCCTTTATTTAAAACTCCATAATTAATTAAAATTAATTTATTCGCCACTGCCCGTCCTGCTGCTGTTGTTGTTGTTTGTTTCTTTTGACAACGTAATTCGACAGGAGATTTAAAAAAAATTATTTTTTTTCCCACCTTTTCCGATTCCCGATACCGCGATTGTCCTTTTCCTTTTTCTTTCCTTTTTCTTTTTTTAATTTTCCACAATTAACAAAATCAATTTTCCTCGTATTTATTTTCTCTCTCTCTCTCTCTCTTTCCCTTTTTCTCTTTTTCTCTTTTTCATTTTATTTTTCTGTGACTGTTTTCTTTCCAACGGTGAGTACATAGAATCCTTTTTAGTTTTATATCGTATCATTAAGCCGCAACGACTTCCTTTACATCATACCCCCACCCCAACCCCCGTTCCCTCCTCACTCTCCCCATTTTCTCTTTCCCCCTTTCTGGCTTAATGCATGACGGATATATTTCAAATTTAAAACCTGTTTCCTGCGGATCCTTTTACACTTATTTGCCCAACGTAAATGCATTACCATCCATCTATACGCGGACGTCCGACTGCGGTGACGCCGCGTGACGCCGGAAAAAGGCGTTGAAAATAAAATAATAATAATAATAATAAAAAAAACATCAACAAAAACAACAACAACGAGGATGACGACAGCAACAACGTCAACGACAGAAACTTGCAATGAAACGTAACGCGATATTCCGCAGCTTTTTTTTTTCTTCTGCTCTTTTTACCGGCATACATTTTTCCATTTATTTTATTAATATATAATTCACTCCTTTCCTTTTCCCTCTTCCTCTCCTCCCTCTCTCTCTCTCTCTCTTCCCTTTTCTCATTTTTAACACACATCTATATATATATAAATGCTTATGCATGCATAGGTTTGTTCATTTCACACTTTTTTTTTCTTTTTCTTTTTTCTTCTTTCATTTTTTCTTTCTTTCTTTCTTTCTTTTTTTTTTTTTTTTTTTATATATTTCAACTCGGTGACGTGCAGCTTTTTTAAAACTTTTTTTTTCCCATGTTGAGTGAATTTTTTATGCCAGAATATTGAAAGAAGGGTGTAAAAATTCTCCGCGCGTCTCCTCCTCCGACGAGCACCAGAGGCAATCATAATAGGATTACTTACGCTGTATTCAGCTGCCAAATCACATTCTTGAATTCTTTTCTTCTTTAAGAGGGGCTGAAAACATTTTTAATTTTTTTTTTTTTTTTTTACTTTTCTTTTCCTTTCTTTCCTTTTTTCCTTTTTTTTCCTTTTTTTTTTTTGTTAACTTTTTATATTTACTTATTTTCGCTCATTTTTTTTTCGACGTTTTCCTTTTTTTTTGTTTTTTTTTTTTCGTTTTCGTTTATTAGCCTAAAAATTTTCGATTGGTAAAGTTAAAAAAGAAATCAATCAAATGAGGGGGAGATATCACATAGTACGAAAATATGACAGAAACATGATAATTGTTTGGACACAAGAGTGTGTTCCCACACGATGATGTCTCTCCGGGGAACGCATTGTTGTTATATAAAAAAAGGGGGTGGTAGTAGTAGTAGCTGAGTAAGCTCGTGCCGAGACATTAACGAGGCTGATTGAATTAAGACTACCCTCAGAATAAACATTAGCTGACAACGAAATAATACTTGAAAAAAAAAAAAAAAAATCTTGGGACTGCCGAACAGAATCGAGGGATTTTTCATCTTGCACACACAATCCCAAACATTTTTTTTTATTTATTTATTTACTTTTTTTTTCATTACGATTTTCGTAACGTTTCCAACACCCCACCCCCACCCCCTCCCGTAGAAAAAAGAATAGAATAGAATAGAAAAGTAAAAAGATTCGTCGCTTGCAATTAATTAATTAATTATTATTAATATTTAAAAATATACGGATGAACCCGACGAATCACGTGTGTAAACCCACATTGTCCCCCCCACACTGTCCCCCCACACAGTCCCCACATTGTCCATTAAAATTTAATATTTAACGCAAATTAAATTTCTCAAATTCGAAACGTTTGACGTTAAATACTCGCGAAAGGTTAATAAAATTTTCAAATTTCAACAAGCGAGTAAAATTTTGCGGAGAAATAATAATAATATGTAATGACGTCATTTTCGAAAACCGCGGAACGAATCGAACGCGATTCTTAAACCTTTTTCTTTCTGCCTTAGAAACGATAAAAAATTAAGGTTTTTCCACGGAATACCGATTCTCAATATTCGTAACCTACATAAGTTAATTTAAAACGGCAGAAGAAGAAGAAGGAAGAGGAGTAAAAAAAAAAAAAAAAAGAAGAAAAAGAAAAAGAAGAAGAAGGAGAAGGAGAAGAAAAAAAAAAGTAAATAAATAAATAAAACGAATCTAAGAGGGTAAAATCGAATTGAAAACCGACTGAGATTGAACAAGACAACGCAGGGACCTCCTCCATCTGCATTTGCAAACAATCGTTCCATCCCCCTTTTTGGAATATATCCCATGTTTTATTTACAGTAACAGGGTAACTGAGGGATTTGCTACTTTACCCTCAACCTCCTTCTTTTCCTTCTCCTTCTTCTTTTTCTTCTCCTCCACCTCCACCTCCTCTTATCTCATGATAAGAATGTTTCAAATGCATGCATGCACACACACACACACACGCACCCACACTCCCACTCACTCACTCTTACACTCACACTTGCCAAACTTTTTTTTCTCATTGAATATAAAAGTAATAATAATGACAGTTCACCCGCGCGGTTGATTGCCATTGACAATTTCCTTTTTTTTTTTTTTTTTTTTTTAATTTTTCCGATTTTCCAACTCCTTAGACTTTATTTTATTTCTTGAACTAACTATTTGCTTTTGTTTTTTGTTTTTCTTTCTTTTTTTTTTTTTTGCATTTTAGCCTCCTTCTTTCTTCTTTCCCCAATTATTATTATTATCATAAACGTTTCATCCGAATTTAATTTGTTAAACATTAAAACGATAAATTATTATTTTCGTACATTAACCCAAAAATCTACACACAACACACGCGCGCACGCATTTTTATAAAAACAAGTGAATATTATTATATTCACGAGATGGATTAAAAGATTCGAAAGATTTATTAAACAAATGGAATGAATAGATGGATAGATAGATAGATAGATAGATAGATGGATAAATATTTAGATACATATAGATAATGAAACTGTGCAAGGAAACCGCAGTTTTTCATGTACAACCGCGTTATTTTTAGATGATTATCGACATTAGCATTATAATCGTCGTCGTATTCGTCGCCATCATCATCATAACCATTATTATTATTATTATCGCTGTTATTAACATAAGGGGATGACGATGATGATGATGAGGATGATGATGACGACAATGCGCCAACTGGGAATTTCAATTTTCCTTTTCTTTTGTTTAATTATTTATCAAGTCTTGTTTTTATGCGGTTTTTAAAAACGATGTTAAAAATCTCTTTTCGTTTCGAAAATATTTTCTCTCTTTTTTCCTCTTACGCGAATCCAATATACATTTCTTTTTTTAATTCTTTCTCTTTAACGTTACAAAAAAAAAAACAACAGGGTTTAAATCTCTTGGGTTTTCTTTTCTAGGCTCATCTCAAAACCGCTAAATTTTGGTTTCTTAATATCATGTTTCACAAAGAACTTTGAAAAATCCCCAAACGGTACGAAACGTACGTAATCCTCCGTCAATTTTTTTTCGCATTGTGATTATCGCCTTGTTTTGTATAACCCTCCCCCCCCCCACCGTTCGTTCAAAAAAACCAAAAAAAAATTTTTTTAAAACTCACCTAATAATATCCTGCAACCTTTGTAAAAAATCATCCGAATGAGAATTCGCAGAACCAGTAACGGCAGAAGTAGCAGAAGGTTCTAAACTTTTGTCTTCCCATTCCATTAATATTTTTGCTATACCTTTCATAATTGCACCTGATATCCAAATAATAATAATAATAATAATAATTTTTCAATTTTCCCGAGTAGAAAAAAAGGAAAAGTAAATAAATAAATGTTTTATTTAAACTCACTTGCCACGGGATCAACAGGTAACGATGACTTTGTATTGCTGCTTACAACGGGTCCCGGACCATGATCGGGTAATATGGCCTGGAAAAAAATAAAAAAAAGGCCCAAAAAAATATTTTATTTGCCCGCACTTAACCTTAACTAAATAAATAAATAAAAACATAAAATGACGATAAACTTAGGAAAACCTTTTAAAAACATATCATTCATCCATATTTACATTTAAGTAAATTTATTTTAAAAAAAACAAAAATAATATAAATTTTATAGGTTTTTAAACTTGTCCGACATTTTTATTTTTACTCAAAAGAATTATTGTTTAAAAAAAATGAAAATTTTCCCGATACCACCACAAACGAATATAAAATATATATGTATGGGAATAAAGTAAAAAAAATTCTCTCGCATTTCTATATATTAATGTTTATCAATGAAATTACACGACACAACAAAAAAATCTTATAATAATTATTATTATGATTACTATTTCCCAATAGAAAAAAAAAAAAAAGCTGACAGAATGTTGTTAGGGAGTTCACATATTAAAAAAAAAAAAAAAAAAAAAGCAATAAAAGTGATTGACCTTCCTTCGGTTCTTAGAAAAATCATTCAAATATTCAGTCCATTAAATCAACAGAATAAAGTCAACCCTTCGCTCTTGTGCATGAATTTTACACTTGATTTCTTTCAATTTCACCATAATCGTCATCATCATCATCATCATCATCATCATCATTATCAATATTATTTTTATTGCTTTTTTTTTTCTTAAACATATTTCTAACATAATGACCGAATCAAAAAAAAAATAATAATGATGATGATAATGTTAAAAAAAAAAAAAAAAGAAAAAAAATTTATCGACAACTCACCGTCAAACGTTTTAATAGTAAATCCAACAAACCGAGTATTCTATTACTCAATATGACAAATTTACAATTTAATGCAAAACCGTCGATTGCTGCCAAATAAGTTTTGCTCGTCGTTACAAAACACCTGCAAAAAAAAAAAAAAAAAAAATTGCGTTCATGTTGTTTTTCCAAAGCTTTCGTTGCAACAGCAATCACTTTAAATGACGACAGCAACTCACTTTTGAGGCAAATACGGTGCTGCGTTCTGCGGAACATCAATGTCCAATTGTAATATATTGTTTAAAGTTGAAAAACCATTTAAAACTTTGAAAACTAATTGATCGTGAGAATCCTGAAATGAAACAATCAATCAATCAATCAATCAATGAAAAACAAGAAGTTATCCCGAAGTATATATGTTTAAAAAAAAGGTACCTTTTTACTCAAAGTTCTATTTATTTCTCCCATTGATCTTTCCAATATTGTTATCGCGCTGTCGCTCCACTGTCCCTTTCCCTGACTACTTATGACTTTTTCTATATCTCTCAAACACTTTTGCAGTTTTCCCTTTCCCGGTGAATCTATTTTTCCGGAGGTCGTAGATTTCGAAAGATACTCTTCTCCTCTGAAAAATGAAAATTCGATTAACATATTTCTAAAAAAAGAATAAGAGTGAGATGTTGTTTGAAAACGAACTTTGAAATCATTCTCTGTCGGATTTTTTTACACTTCTTTTTAAAACTTTTTATTCTTTCCTTGTCCAACTCGATTTTAGGATCGATTTTATCCGACGGAGCGTTGACTATTATTTTAATATTGTGCTTTTCAACTTCTTCCCTACTTAAATCTTTTCCGTTGACTTGATTTTTAACCGCTTCTTGATGTTTTTTACCACGAAGATGACTGAGCAGGTACACTTCGGATCCGATCTGAACATGAAATGTTTTCAATTACATGTCGTTTACAAAAAAAAAAAAAAACGATTCGTAATTTGTTTTTCGTACTGATACTCACCAAAACGTTGCACGCCGAACAGAGTTTTTGAGTTTCGTAAGGGATCAATTTGGGAGCAACATCGTCGGAACATTTCGATATACTTAATTCCAGAGCTTTCTGACGGATTTGTTCGATGTTTTCTTCGTGTCTTCGCGCGTAATCCTCTTGTTTTTGTTGAATTTTTTTCTGTAATTCTTCTTGGGCTTCCAATTGAGCAGCGTGTAAAGCTTCGAGTCTGCCAAAAAAGCGAAAAAAAAGGTAAGAAAAAAGGTAAAATAAGGTTAAGTAAAATAAAATTTTTTTTTTTTTGTACGCAGCGTACCTTTCGCTTCTATCTCTTGCTTTTTCTCTCGCCAATTCTTGACGTTCTTTTTCCTTTTCCTGTTTTTTCTTATCAACTTGTTCGTCACGTTTTCTCTGTCTTTCTTGCATTTTTTCCAATTTTTCTTGCCTTTCTGCTTCAATAGCTTTTCGCCTTTCTTCAACCGCAGCTTCTTTTGCGGCTTTTTCTTCTTGTTTCCTTTGCCTTTCTTCATGGATACCCTGAAAATTAACAAACCCCATAATTTTTTTTTTGTTACTATTCAACAGAAATTTTTTCGAACGTGTAAAAAAAATTAAAAAACCTGTAATCTGTCTTCTTGTTCCTGACATTGAGTCATAAAATCATGTCTTTTATTTTGAGCTTCCAACTCGTTAATAAAAGCAATTTCTTTAAGTTTTTCTTCTTCGTCATGAGCTTTCCTCATGATTTCTTTCAAATGCAAGTTTCTATTTTCTGCCGCTCTTTTCAATTTCATTTCCAGTCGTTGTCTAAATCATTCAAAAAAAAAAATTTTACACAGATTCAAACTTAAAAATTTTAGAGGGTTGACATTTTACCTTCTATCTTCGATAAGTTTATCCTTTGCTGCTTTGACTTCATCGACTTTTTTCAAAAGCTCTCTCAATTTTTGAGCTTTTTCCATTTTAAGTTGTTCCCTTTTTTCCAACGCTTTAGCTTGTCTCGCTTGAAATTTTTTCACGGTATCCAACATTGTTCTTCTTCTCGAGGGTGAAGATAATTTTTGGTGTAATTCCAATGCCCGTCCCGGATGTCGAGCGACGAATTCTTCCAATCGTTCCAACGTATCCAACTGTTCATCCCTTGTCATTCCTGTTGTAGTAAAAAAACCCGTTTAAACTATCTCACATCCGACATTCCGATACATAAAAAATAATTTAATTTAATAAAATGAATAAATAATAAAAAAAAAAATTTTTTTTTTTTTCGTTTTGGTCATTTGCGAAGGCAACAATGCGAATTGTAATTAAAATCGATATACCTTTATTAGAACAATCCTGTACGACTAACTTCTCCAGCTCGTCTAGAGTTTCCATATGATCAGCCCACGACATTCCTGCCGCGTAAAAAAACAATACACAAAAAAAAAAACAAAGCGACGGTTATTTGTAAGCATAACATTTAAAAAAAAAAAAAAAACTAAAAAAATACACAGCTAAAAAAGCTTTGAAAAAAAAAAAAAAAAAAAAAGCTGCGATAAAAATTTATGATTAGCATTTTACTTGACACTTTTGCTATGGTAAATAATATTCGACACAAAATTTATTTAAAAAAAAAAAAAAAAAGCTCAAAAAATTATTTCCCATAATTTTCTTCCCTTTCTTTCCCTTCTTTCTTTCTTTTTAATCCCCCAAAAAAAAAAGCTGTGATTTTTTTTAATTAATATGAAAAATATAAAATGTGTGAGTTATACTATATCTGCTAAAAAAATCCACAAAAAAACTAAAGCCAATAAAAAAAAAAAAAAACCCTTAACAAGTGCGTGATTTTTTTTAAATTTTCTAACCCCTCAGGAAAAAAAAAGCTTTTTCCACAGCAAACTTTTTGTATTTGGCCCCCAAAAAAAAATGCTTTGTACATGTTTATGTGACAATTTTGTTAGTCTTATGCCAATGAATTTCTAAAAACTAAATTTTTTTGAAATGAAAGTGTGACCGCGCGATTGCCTCATGAATTCTTTTTTTTTTTTTTTCACATAAAATAAACTTATTTAATAATAATAATAATTATTATTATTTTTTTTTTTTACCACTTAATATGTCGTGATATCTATTCGATTTTTTCGGTACGACTTCGCTATCCTGTCGATTTTCCAAAACGGATGTCGGTGATTTTTTTTCTTGATCCGGTTCTTCCTCGGTTCCGGTTGTCGTTTCGCCATCCGTTTCTTCATCTCCGGTTTCCAACTGTTTAAAATAATTTTATTCGTTGTTTATATTTATTAAAAAAAGCTCTTCGGCAGATTAAAAAAAAAACTCACCTCGATATCCGCAGCTTCCAATTCGTTTATTTCCTTTTGCAACATTTCTTCCGTTTCTTTATTCTTTTTAATTTCTTCGTGAAAATGATTTTCTTCTTCGTCGTTTGACTCTTGATCGATGGATGAAATGGTTTTCGATTTCGAATAACCCATTTGTTTTCCACCGGATAAAAGATTTTTTTTATTCTCAGTTTTTTCTCTGCTGTTGTACAAATCGGTTTTAACCGTTTCATTTAAATTTTTTTCATTCAACAACCGAGTGCTGTTTTTTCTAACTCTTTCTCCATTACTCCTCTTCCTATTGTTAACATTATCTTCGAGTTTATTACTATTATTATTATTATTATTTTTTTTTTCGATTTTTTTCAATGGTTTACCAAAATCTTTCGTTTTATTTTTTAAATCCGGTTTTCCTTTTATTATTTTCTTTGACACGATATTTTCTTTATATTCGCTTGCTGAAAATGCCAACGTTGGCAACGATATGGCCGAACTCGGTTGAAAATAACGAGTTTTATGAGTCATTTTAATTTCTCCTTTGTGGTCTCCTTTTGTTTTAAGATTGTTAGCACTTTGAGAAAGGGTTGTTTCCAAAGCTCCGGTTTTGGTAGCTAAGGAAAAACGTGACTTTGACCTGACTTTAACCCATCCGTCATCTGAAAGTAATATGAAACTTAATTAATTGATGTCCAAAAACCAAAAAAAAAAAAGAACCATCCATGATTTTACCATCTTCATTTCCGTTTATTTTTTTAGTTAACGTTTCCACTGAATTAGAATTTTCCTGGTTTGTTATAAGGGATGATTCTGTAGCACTGGATTTCTTTGAAGTCAACGCTTTTTCAACTTTTTCTGATTTACTATATTTACTTTCAGTGAGTATGTTTGAATTCTGTAACATAATTACAACATTAATAACAATAAAATTTTATATTCATCAAATAAAAATTATGAACTGCGATACATTTTAATAATACCGCCATCTTAAACTTATAAAACTAAGCAATGTCTATAAATGTTAAGAGAACTTTTCGTTTTTAAAAATAAAATAAATCAATATTAGAACAAACCTGTTTTATGTTAGGCACTGTTTTCGTAGGTTTCGTTAACAAAGAACTTCTTCCACCTCTGATTACCTCTGACACCGTTTTGCTCCTTGTAAGTTTGGTCATTACGGGATAATTTAAAGTTGTTGACACGGACTTTTTAGGTACCGACCTCGCACCCCAGGGTTGTCTTTGTGGAGTCGTTGAAGGTAATTTACTTGCAGGTAATCTTACAACTGAACCAGGTTTTGCAAAAGCAACAAAACTTATGGGTTTCGAATTATTCGTAGCTGCACATAAGTAAGAACTTCTTATTAATGTTCTTCCCGTATTTAAATTAGAACTTGCAGATGACATTTTCACAGTTGACATATTGGATGATGGAGATTGTTTGACACAGTTTTTTCCATCTTCTTTAAATACTGAATCATCATCGATTACTTTTAACTTTCCAGTAAATAAAACATTGGTATTATTTTCTGTTAATTTTTTGGTTTCATCTTTTGATTCTCCTTGCATCAAATTATTAATTTTATCTACATGAAATCCAGTTATCGAAGGACAAGTTTGTTGACTAGAAGATCGATATTTAGGACCATTTTCATCAACATCTTTTTCAGGATCTGTTTGACAAACTTCATCGGTCATAGAAACCCTATTTGTTATAAAATTTTTATTTTCAAACTCTTTTTTTTCAAGTGTTTGATTTGGATGGACATCGATATTACTTTTAGATATTTCAGAATTATTATTTGTAGATAAAATCGAATCTGATCGATTTGTAGATTGGACTTTATTTTCTAATGAATTATTGTCTAAATTTGGTAAATTGACTTGATGTAATTCCTCAGAAGTAGTTGAATTTACTTGCACATTATTTTTTTCAATATCAACTTCTTCCAATTTGCTTTCTTCAATAATTGACTCAGTATTAATAGAATTTAATTTAGGCACCTGTGGCGAAACATTTTCTTTACAAATTGTTTCAATTATTTTATGTCTTATTTTTCCAGGTGAACTTTTTCTTATTTCCCAAGCTAATGATAATGGTCTCTGAGGTGGAGGTGTAGTTTCATACTCCCATTTTATTTTAAACCAATTGATTAAATTTTTAAATTCTCTTGTATAGTTATCTAAAACCATAATAACCTCCTTGCATTCTGTTACACTTTCATCTGATTCGCATGTTTGATATATTTCATCGACTGCCCTTTGTAAATTACCAAATAAAAAAGCCCAATACCTGGCATGGAGTTCTAAAATGAAATCATTTTATGGGTAATCATAATAATATAATTTGAAACAATTACTCAATTTAAAAAAAATACAAACCTGATTTTTTATCCCTTCCTGTAGATGCAGATCTAACTCTAGATCCCGATTGGGAAGATTCCCGAGACCTTTTTGCGTATTTAAACGGATCATCATTTTTTTTATAATCGCTCATTGATCGAGGAGACGTGGGTGGTTTCCTCATCACCTTCATCGCACCTTAAAATTACGAATACAAAAAAAAAAAAAAAAATTAGCAGGTAAACGATTACATAATAATCTTTACGATTCTTCATTTTCGACCAAAACGAAAATTAATAGGAAAATTTATTTATTTAAATAAAACTTACTTGAATCATACTGAGTTTCAATAACAGGTACGTTAAAAGCAACCAAATTTCTAGCTGATCTTCCTTCTTCTTGAACAAGTAATTTTATATCCTCCATTCTTAAAATTTACAATGACAGTCTCATTATTTTAATAATATTAATTATTATTTATTAACTAATAACATTTGATTAACTTAACAATAAATATAATCATTAAATCTACTAATATATATGTAAAAAAAAAAAAAAACTATTTTTAATATATATATATAAATAAAGCTATGTCAAAAGACCATAGAATTCAAAATTAAATAAATATGGTTGAATGTTATGTAACCATAGAGTGCACAAAAGTAATTCTCGAACGACTTTTAAAAAATTTAACGGAAATAAAATTAATTAAAAATCGATTAATTACTTTTTTCCCCCCCTTTTTGTTTTCAATTTGAAAAATCGATGACGTTTATACGTTACGGGTTTTCTTCTTACGATAAACAAAAAAAGAAATTAAATAAATTTTTTTTCGTTCTTTTTTCCCCCATTTTACCATTCCGCAAGTTAAAACCAGCCAAATTCCTACCGTTTATTATTATTATTATTTTTTTAAACAAATAAATCAAATATGCAAAATTTGACTTAATTTTACTTGTTATGCAATAAAAACATTTATAATTATTATTATTATTATTTAAAATCAATGTTAATCATCACAAATATTATTTTCTTTAATCAAAAAGTTAAAATTTCAATTGACAGCTCAATTAATCATCCTCCTTTTTTGTTTTATTTTAATTATTTAATTATTTATTTATTTATTTATTTAAATAAATAATAGATTGTTTTTTTTTCACCATTTAAAAAAAAAAAAAACAAATATATATAAATTTAAAATCCCGGTCGAACGTTAAAATAAAAGGGAAAACATATTAGAACACGATAAGTTACAAATTGTCAAAATGTTTATTTTTCCATTCGTTTAAGGTATAAAAATAAAAAGAGGATATAAAAGGTTTTGTTATTAAGGGGAAAACTGCACGTTGACGCGTGAGGTATAAAAAAGTCAGGCACAGATCAGTTCACTTCTGCACGGCAATCTAGAAAAATGAAACAAGCCTTAACACATAGGCTTGATCATTATTATACACTCAGCTGACGTTTGCTCAAACTACCATCATCATCATCATCATCATGAGACCGACATATGCAAGTACTGATAACTTATCAGAAATATCAGAATCTGGTACGGGCCGAACTGGAAGCACTTCTGGAAGGAGCGGTTATAGCGATAATAGAGATGAACTCTTATCTATTTTGGGTCTCACAGAAGACGATGAAATATTCACGGACAGGTTCCGGATAGATAGAAAAAAATTAGAAGACATGATAATGAGTGAGTCTTTATCGATGTTATTATCGTTATCAATTATTTATTTATTTATTTATTAAGTAAATAATCGGACGGCATACGAAACTTTTTATTTATTTATTTATTTATTTATTTAATCGCGGAATTATCATGACGGGGCATTTATCCAGCTTGCAATACTCAAGCAAGTACCTGCTTATTAACATAAATAAAAAAAAAATCTTAACTTTTATTATTATTATTATTTTTATTAATCATCATTATTATTATTATTTTATTATTATTATTTGTTATTAATATTTTTTTTTACGATTTATACCAAAAAAAAAAAAAAAATGTCGAGTTTTGGTTTTTTTTTTTTTTCCAACATGACGATTCTAATCCGGGTCAATTTTTTTTTTTTTTTTTGGGTTTAAACCCAATTGAATTTTTCCAAATTTAATAATGATAATAATAATAATAATAATAATAATAATAATAATCGTAAATAAATAAATAAATAAAAATTATTTGTCCGTGTGAATTTTTTTTTTTAATGACAAAAATCATGACCGAATGACAAAAATTCCTAACTGTAATATTTTTTTTTTTTTTTTATTTACATTTCTTTGAATTTTTTTTTTTTTTGTTTTATTCTTTACGTTTCGATTTTCCTATTTTTATTATTTTTGCTGACGTTAAAATTTTTGTATTTATTATATTAATAATAGTAATAATAATAATAATGATGATTAAATTAATTGATTACAGGTGATAATGATGCACTGGATGCCACTCAAGCTTTTTTTCAAAGGGTAAGAAATGATTAATTTTTTTTTTTCTTTTCACCCTTACCCTCCCCCCTCCCTTCCTCCCTCCTCGAAATTTCGTTTGGAAATGAGAATTATTATTATTATTCCGAAAAAGTTTCGAAAAAAAAAAAAAAATTTCGTTTTCGTTTTTCTTTCGTTTTTTAATTAAAAAAAAAAAAAAGAAAAAATTTTACGTGACGTCACGATTTGATATCCCAAAATTTTTTTTTTAAATGACAAAGAAAAATTTGTTGATCCGATTTAATATTAGATTGTGAGGGTTCAAAAAATAAAAAATTTCATCATCATCATCATCATCATCATCATCATTATTATTATCATCCAAAGTCCATGAAAACCACTAAGCGATTGATTATATACTCTTAAAGTATACAAAAGTTATCATTTTAAAATTTTCTTTTTTTTAAAAAAAAAAAAAAACAAGATAGTCGAAGCAAAACGAAAAATTTATTTATAATTTTCCAGTCACCCCCTTCCCCCAACTACCACTACCACTAGTACTCCCCGAACGGAAAGTTTTCCGCCAACTCCCACCCCCTCGTCCCCTCAAAAAAAAAAAAAAAAACAAAAAAAAAATTCTTTTACTCCAAGAGATAACTTTTCGATCCTCGATTTCACCATCACCTTTTTTTTTTCCTCATTCTCATCCGCCCCCTCCTCTCACTCCCCCCAAAAGAATTCTTTAATGACGTCAAAATAATTACGTCATCGTTTGAAAACATTTAAAAAAAAAAAAAAGTGAACGATAATGAATTATTTTTAACGGACGAGAGCACAAGTTCTAATATAAACCATTTACAAATTTTATTTTATGTTAACCATTTGTAATCGTACTACACTCATCATCATCATCATCATTATCGACATGATAATAATAATAATAATAATAATAATTGTAAGCCTAACTGACCGAACAACAAAAACAACAATAGTTTTCATTATCGATAAAAATTTCTTGTTCTTCTTCTTTTTTTTGGGGTTTTTCGTCGTTTTTCCAGTTTTTTTTTTTTCATTTTCCGTCGTTTTTCCGTTTAATTTTCTTTTTTAAATAAATTTTAAAATGTCGGTTTAAAAACAAAAAAACCGTTAAATTTTCAAAAAAAAAAAAATCACAAGCGGGATTCTTGTGGAAGCATAAAAAAAAAAAAAAAAAATTAATACGATCGATAGACATGTTGGACGTTTTGGAAGATTTAGTGAGTATAAAATAATGAAATAATATTATTATTATCATTATTAAATTTTTCAATATGGCGGATTTTTTTTTTAATCGGAAAATTTTTTTATTTTATTTTCAGATCATGGAAGGTTCTGGTACACACATCGCGTGGCCGACGAGATTAAAAATCGGAGCCAAATCGAAAAAAGGTACAAATTTATTTTTTTAATTTTTACCAAACGTCTACCAAAGCCCCTTCCTCTCCCCCCCCCCGAAAAAAGATTCCCCATTGAAATCATCATCATTATTATTATTTAAAGTTTTCCAGTTAAAAAAAAAAAAAACAAAAATTTAATTATTTTTCGATGATTAAATTCGATAAATCGACCGTTTAAAAAAAAAAAAAAAAATTCTTACGCTTCCGCCAATCAAAGCTCGATTAAAAAAAAAAAAAATTTTTTAAATATTAATAATGATGATGATGATAATAATAATAATAATAATAATGATACGTATGAGTGTTAAAAGGATTTTAACGTGTAATTGCGTGGACTTATTACGGGCAGACGTATCAAAAAAATTTTTACCTTTTGGCGGCGCCCGAAAGTCTGAAAAAATAAAATTTTTACTCTTAGTTGAATTACGACCGATGCGAATTTACCATTTGTTAATTAACATTTTATAATAAACGAATGCAAAAAAAAAAAAATTGGAAAATTTCGAAAATTCAATTTTTTTTTTTTTTTTTTAAAACGGTTTTGTAACGGTCATTATGGGGAACGCGACGACGACTACGACGGTGTAGAAGCTTTCACATTTTCAAAAAAAAAAAAATGTTACGGTGATAATAATAATAGTAATAATAATAATAATTAAAAATGAATTACGATAAATTTTGCTGTAATAACAACGTGATTTATGAAAAAAAAAAAAAAAATTTTTTTTTACAAGATTGTGACATTGAAATATTAAATTGGTGTAAATGGTTGACTGAAAAATCCGGCGGTGAGTATTTTTAATTATTATTATTATTATTATTATTATTATTGTGCGTGGTGATTTATTATTATTATTATTATTAAACAAGATTTTATTGGTTTTGTTTGGGTTGTGGAAAGAAAAGAAAAAAAAAAAAATTTATTTTGTTTGTTATTATAGATCCACACGTTCGAGTGGCTGGCAGAAGCCTTCAAGATATACAAACGGCCAAAGATACGATACTATCAGCTTTGGGCATAAGGGTGAGTAAAAGAAACAAAAAATACAACGAGTGTTGTTTGTTTGTGTTTGTGTTTGTCTTTGTCGATCGATTAATTTTTTTTTTTTTTTTTTTTTTTTTTCCGGGGGGGGCGTTATTTATATTAAAAAAAATAAGAACAAACAAGTTACCATGAAACTCAACGTGAGTTACACTCATCATTCGCATATAATCGGAGAAGGAGGACAAACGATAACAAACGTACGAAAACAAACCGGTTGTCACATACATTTTCCGGACAGCAACAGATCCGGAACAGAAACGAAAAGCAATCAAGTTTCCATAACGGGATGCATCGAAGGCGTTGAAAAGGCTAGAAATCGAGTCAGGGTAAAAAAAATTTCTGCAAAATAATAATAATAATAATAATAATAATGAGTTTATATAACGTTATGTTTTGTTTTGTTTTGTTTCAGGAACTCGTACCTTTAATATTTTGTTTTGAACTTCCAGTATTAGGCTCGATTCAAACGTTTCCAGATATGAATTCTCCGTACATACAACAAATATCCGAAAAATATAATGTACACGTGTCGTGTCGAACCCGTTCAAGACTTCATGCTACACTGGTTGTAGTAAAAGGTTGCGAGTGGGAAGTTGACTCTGTTAAACAAGCAACTTTACTTTTGATTAATCACATGTGCGGAAAAGTGGCTGTACGTTATTGTTTACCTAAGGTTTTTAAAAAAAAAAATTAATAATAATGATAATAATAATAATGGAATGAAAATTTTTCAGAGTCAAGTTCCTGTCCAAATGACAATGGAAATTTCTCCTCATCATCATCCGATGGTTTTAGGACCCCAAAGTCAGTACTTGAAAGCGATAATGGAAAACACGCAAACGAAAATTATGTTTCCAGATGCGCAAGATCCAAACATACCGGTACTGAAAAGAAGCAACGTGACGATCACTGGACAAATTAATAATGTTTATTTAGCAAGGCAGCAATTAATGGTACGGCCATTTTTTTTTTTTTTTTGCTCTCTGTCTCTTACTCTCTCATTGGATTTATTTTTTATTTTTTTTTTTTTTTTAGGGCTCCCTACCAATAAATTTGACTTTTAGTTTGAGTGAAGAAAATATGGCCATAGACTCAGAGAGGATTAACCAAATAAGTGAAGCGCTGGACGTTTCAATATCGACCCGTCATTGTCCTAAACAAAACAACCTCTCTGTTATCATAAAAGGAGTTGAGAGAAATACTTCTAATATTTATGAAGCAAGACGCATCTTGCTTAATTTAGAAGAAAAAATCGAAGCTTCCATACCAGAATCATATAAAATTCCAAATCCCCCGAAAATATTTGACGTGAACGGTGAGTATTTCCGGTGCGTGCGTGCGTGCGCGCGCGTGTCTGCTCCCCAAAAAATTCTAATGTATTTTTATCGTAACCTTTCAGAGATTAACGACATTAATTCAACCAGAGCTTTGCCGAGTATTTTGACGCTTGATAACGGATCCAGTTTCCCGCAATTGTCTCTGTCGGACCACTCTCCATTATTAATGCCATCTTTGTACAATCCCATATGGGGCTCTCAGTTACCTCCGGGACTCATGTCGATAGCTTGGGGACAAATGATGTTACCTCAACAGCAACAACAACAACAACAGCAGCAGCAACAACAACATCAACAACAACAACAAACTCATCAACAGCAACAACCCATGATTATGTCTCGGCCTAGACCGACATCGACAGTTACCGGTCGCGATATATCCGTAGGTTCGAGCGGGTACGGATCACAATTAACACTCAATCAATTCGGAAGCATGAGTACTTCACCTATTTCGGATACCAACGGATGTGAGTCGAATGGAAAATTTTTTTTCATTTTTTTTTTTTGTCGACGCGAAAATATCGAGCGTCATTTTCTCTATTGCAGTATCCGCCATATCATCGTTTAGTAGCAACACTAGTTCTTTATCGACACCAGGAGTAAGTCCAAGAAATCAATCGCCAACCATGCAAGGAATGGATCATCAACTTTCATTAGGTAAAACAAAGGAAATGAAAAGGCAGAGAACGATTGATTCGGCAGAAAATTTACTGCTGAAAAATGTCAAAGAGGGTAATACTTGATGAAAAGTTAAAAAAAAAAAGGGTGACGCAAAACAAATTTTCCGGGAAAATGAAACTTTTTTTTTTAAAAATTTTTTTCCATGTTTTTTTTTTTACTTTTAAAAGGAAATGACGTAATAATAACTAAAAAAAAAAAATTGGGTTTTTTTTTTTAGATTTAAGTAACATGATGAAAGTAACACCGGATTGGTCAGATCAAAGAAATTTAGGTTTCGATTCTACTCCGATACAAACCCTCACCCCTATTGATTACGAACAAAAAAAATTTCTCGCTGTCAAAGCCATACAAAACATGCCCAACAGCAACGAAGTTCGTGTTCCAACATCAGCGTGGTCCGGCTACGGTTTCAGTTTAACGAGTCCTTCATCTTTGTTCAGCGATCAGAAAGAATTTATGAATTCTCATAACGTGAGTCTTGTCCACCTCTGAAACATTTTTTCCACCATTTTTCATTTTTTCGAAACCTCATGTGAAATTATTCCGATTTTAGGATTTATTCGATGGTGATCCGTGGAAAAATTCATCCGATCTTCCGCCATTTTCCAACTTAACGGAAAGGGATCAAACGAGTTCGTTTATGAGCAACAGTAACGCCATAGAATCCGTACCCAGCGGTATGTTAAAACGCATACAAAATTGTGACACGGATTTACCGACGTTGTTGGCATCCCTGGGATTGGAAAAATACATACGTAAACATTTTTTTTTTTTATAACATCTTCTTCTTCTTTATCTAATTCCACGTCTAAAAAAAAAAACAAATTATTACAGAACTTTTCAAATCTCAAGAAATCGACATGTCATCATTTCTAACGTTTAACGACGTCAATTTAAAAGAAATCGGAGTATTAGCTTACGGTGCCAGACATAAAATGATGCTTGCCATAACGGGTAAGTTAAAAAAATTCTCTTCCAATTCCGGAAACGGAAGATAAAAATGTGGAATCACTTCCGGTCGTTTTAACTTTTTCAAAATTTTCTTTTTTTTCAGAATTAAAAAAGCGTCAATCTTCTTTAATAAGTGCAGCACCAGGAGCTGAAAGGAAAAGATCTCACGGTTGGCCGAAACCTGAACAATGATAATGATAATTAAATCGATATATATATATACGCACACACTCACACGCATACCCACACATATACATACACGTATACGTTTATATATGTGTATATGCATACACGTTAAGACTGACTGAACAAAATGAAAAAAAAAAAAGACTGAACTCAATATATATATATATAATAAATAATTTACGTACGAATACCAAAAATAATAATATTAAAATATTTAATTAATTAATTATTAATGTTAATAATAATAATAATAATTAGTTATTGTATTTAAAAAAAAAAAAAAAAATGTCGATCGATCGATATTTTACGTTTCGGTTTAGGTTATTTTTTTTTTTTTTTTTAAGTTGGCGCGATAGGTTTGTATATTTTTTTTATTTATTGCATGGCTTTACATATGTCGTGACGTGCGTTCGCACGCACGCACGCACGTGTAATTTTTTTTTTTTTTTGTAAAAATTTATTTAATTCTATATATATATATATATTGTGCATGGTCCGTTGGATGATCCTCGATGGTGAACAAAAAGAAAAAAAAATTAAAATTAAATTGAAATTTTTTTTTTTTAAATAATCGAAAGACGAATTCGAATTTAATTTAATCATCGGTTTTTTTCTTTCATTGGGACGCGCGAAATAAATTTAAATTTAAATAATAATGATAATAACAATGCGCTAAAAAATTTACGAGACATTTTTTTTATTTCCGATTATACTTATTTACGCGAATAAAATAATAATAATAATTTTGTATTGTAGTTTTTTTTTTTAGTTTAGTTTACTAAAATATAATAACCCCTTCAAATATTTAAAAAAAATTAAAAAAAAAAACAGTAAAGATTTAAATTATTTATTAAAAAAAAAAAAAAAAAACGGGCGCGTTTTTTTTTTTTTTTTTAATAAATAATTTAAATCTTTACTGTTTTTTTTTTTTTTAAATATTCGAATGCGTTATTATATTCCGAATAGTGATTTAAATAAATTATTATTATTATTATTATTGTTTACCCGATGAGATACATTATTAACTTATTACAATAATAATAATAATAATAATAATATTGCGCGATATCATTTTCTTATTTATATACATATATATATATATATTTTTAAGGGAAAAAAAAAAAAAAAATTTTGATTTTTTGCCTCAATTTATATTTGTTGTGTTTTTTTTTTTTTTTTTTTAAATTTATAAATAAATAACAAATTTAAGTCGTAAATTATTATTATTATTATTCTATAACCTTTTTTTTCAAATAATAAATGTCCGAAAACTCAAAAAAAAATGAATGAATGAATGAATGAGTAAGAAATGAATGAATTAATAATTTTTTTTTTAAGAGTAAAATTTAATTTAATTTTATCATTAATATTATTATTATTATTTTCTCTTTCATTAATCATAATATAATCAGTATTAAGCGTAATTAAAACTAAAAAAAAATTTAACCATGTTTTGTACTTGTGACCGACATTTTAATTCTTCATCCGATGAAAGGTTTAAAGAAAATCAACCGGATTAACGGGAAGACCCGTGACTTCCCATATGGTTGCCGCTAATCTTCTAGAATGTTCTAAAACGCACGAGGACGTTGCCAAACCCAAATGTATGCAAAATAATTCGTAACACCTCACGTCACGCGAAGACATTTTCGGAAAGCAAGCTTCGATTAATCTCTTGTAAAAATCTTCTATCAATATTCCTGGGGGGGAGAAATTTTTTATCAAAGATGTCGGATATATTTTGGGTTTGAGAGGAGATCCCGAGGGTTTTTCGAACCATAGAAAATACGCGTAATTGAAAGTCGTGTCTTTCCACATGATTGAAAAATGACCGTCTCGTAATTGCGATCTCGAATAATCTACCATTGACCAAAGTTGTTTCTTCGTCAAAACGGCCGTTTCCTCGTATGTGAAATTCAACGTGGGAGCCGTCAACCTGTGCAAATGACGATCTATGTAAATGAAATGTACGAGTCCGGGAAATTCTTCCAGGTATTTATTTATCGTTAGGGAAGCTCTCGACGTGAGAGTGAAATTTCTAAGCGCTTTGACTTTTAAAAATTCGCTAAAATCTTTGAGTTTCGTTTTGGCCGTTTCGCAAATTCCCTCAATCACGGCTCTGTTATTATGTAAAACGGATTCGTCCAAACACGTTATTTCCAATAATTGTTTGAGACAATCGAGAAATCTCGAAGTGCTCGATTCGATTTGTATAACGCATTCCGAATCGGGATATTTAATAAATTCCGTGTATTTTTTCTTTATGAAACTCCAAATGGTTTGAATGTTTTTCTGTAGCACTTCGTTGGATTTACCATTTTTATATTTTTTCATGCCGTCGAATATTTTTTTCATACCGGAATCTAAAAAATCGAACGCGTGTCTCACACCTTCCATGTCTTTTTGTAATTGTAAATTTTGCAAAGCGTTCAATGCGGAAAATGCATCGTTTAAACCCATCGATATTGAATTACTTCCGATTTCAAAAAGTAATAAAAAATAAACGTTTTCATCTAAACGACACACGTGTACGGCATAAGGACGATTTTCCGACATTAATATTACGTGACTGTGTACATTATTGACGTCATCATTATTTAAATGCTGTTGTTTTCCATTTGTTTGATTTTCGTTCGCGTGGCTGTTGCTGTTGGTATTACTTTCATTCATATTTAAATTAAACAAATTGTAAGAGAGTTCATTTATGAATTTTTCTTGCTTGCATGATTTATTTGATAAACCATAACTCTCGACTAATATTCCTAAAAAAATTATATCCGATGGAATGAGATCTTCTGCACTACGACTAGAATACAATGAAACAAATTTATTATTAACTAGCAAAAGCCCGTGAATTTTAGAAAAAGATGTTTGCTGTTGTAATTTATTCACAGCATCCTGTAGAGTTTTTAAAGTTGTTACACTTAATTCATTGTTAACAAGGAGTTGTTCGACTGCCTCTACTAAAACAGATTGATCTTTTTCTCTCAGATGAAACCATGTGTCTAGAAGTTTAGAGAGCAAATTTGTTTTCGATTCGTTTGTTTTGAGAATCGGAATGTTTGGTCCACATAAATGTTTGACAAATGTTATGCAAATTCCTAAACTCCTGTGTAAAAGTTCCACAGAATGTGTTCCTATGTGTACAAATAAATAACCCATGTATTCGTTGAACACCAAATTAACATTATCTTCGCACTGTATCGAAGAATATGAATTTCCAAATTGACAAGTCATCAATCTCTGTGATGCTATTATTGGTGAAAATAACTGTATGACAACATTCGATGTTAATTTTGACTGTTTTGAATTTTCCAAATCGTTATCCTGTAACAATCCCTGATTTTTGGCTACTTTAACTGCATGCTTTATGAATTTTTTATTACATTTACAAAATAAAATATCATTTAACTGATCAAATATCAATAAACACTGCATTGTAATTGTTTTTATTATAAATTATTATTATTATTATTATTATTCTGAAAATAAAAAAAAAAAAAAAAAAAAAATCAATATAATCATCGATAAATAACATTGTTGTCTTTCTCTCTGATTCGATTTTACATTTATAACAGGTACTTACTTGTTATAAAATATAATTATTAAAAAAAAATATTAATGAAAATAAATTTACTCGTTTTTATTATTATTATTATTATTTATAAAACTATTATTATTATCTTATGATGAATTTCATTCGTTTACCGAAATCTTATTTTAATAAAAACTTAATTAACTATTTAAAAATTTGAGTTATGTAATAATATTAAAGCATGTTCTTTTATGTATTTGATTACATAATTCATAAATACAAAATATTTATATATATAAATAAAAAAGAAATTAATATAAATAAAATTTTTCAATTTAATAAATAAATAAAAATTATTAATAATAAATATGAAATTAATAAATAAATAAATTTAAAAAAAAAAAAACAATTTTCCCACGTAAAAAATAATTCAACTTTTACGTGTAAATAATAATAATAATAAATAAAGAAATTATTAATTAAATTTTACAAACGATATTTACAAAACAATTTAATAAAACAGTTTAGCCAACTGAAACCTTAAAAAAAAAAAATTTTACTAAATTCGTTCCCGCTAAAATATTTTATATATATATAACATTATTAAAATCGATAAGTAAAAATTTTTATTTAAATTAAAAAAAATAATTTTATGTTAAATAATAAATAAATAAATAAATAATTCTAAATAATAATAAATAATTCTTTCCATCGTTTAAACATTTATTAATAAACCAAATAATAATTTTATTTATTTATGTCGTTGAAAATTAGGTTTCATTCATTCATTCATTCATTCATTTTTATGTATGTATGTAAACTAATAATTTTGACACAAATAATTTTTAAACCTTAAAACCTGTACGAAATAAATTGTCGTACAGTTTAAAAAACGTGTTTTTATTATTATTATTTTTTTCAAAGGTAGTCATTGAAAGATTTTTGACGTAAAAAAAAAAAAAAAATCAGTTAATTCAACCTGATCCTACACCTGAACACCTGCATGTTAAATTTTCTTATTGAAAAAATTATTCTGACCAGTATTGCTTGTATTATAAAATTCACACAACAAATAATAATAATAATAATAATAAATTTTATTTAAACCAGAAATTTAATTTTTACATTAAAAAAAAAAAGTTTAATAAATTTAATGGAAATTATTTCAACGGTTAACTTACTGTAAATAATAAACTTTTTCAATACATTAAACAAATCAAACTGCGTGCAAGACATTAAAAAAAAAAAAAAAAAAAAAACGATTTATGTACATAAATACATAATATAAAAATAACATGAGATGTTTCAAAAACAAATATTAATAATTAATCTCATAACAAATAAAACAATTATACTAATTAACGACAAACAAACAAACGAACAAACAATCTATTTAATTATTTGTTCACTTAGTATAATATAATATAAAAAAATTTGACCTTAGAAAAAATTTAAATTATTATTATTATTATTATTATTTTGTTCAATAACCGTTTATAATAAAATCGTTTTGTTCTGAAAGTAAAAACTTTCAGGTAGGTTAACGATACAAAACAAACAAACAAACAAACATGAATGAAGGAGGGGGGGAGAGAGAGAGAGAAGGGAAGGGAAGGGAAGAGAGACGAACGATAGTTTTTTAAATGGAGGAAAAAAAAAAAAAAAAAAAATTTTATTTAAAGTCTACTAACTTCAGTGTGGCATTCACCTTGACCGTAGTAACATCGTTTTAAGTACCTGATATACCTCGAAAAACCTTTTATTTATTTATTTTATTTATTTATTTATTTATTAATTAATAAATTCGCGATATTTTTATGCGTAAATATGGATTATTTATTATTTATCGTAAGTAAAAATTTTTTTTTTTCTAAATCGATTATTATTATTTAAATCTTTTTCTCTCGGATTAATATTGATATTTTTCATATATCTATCGATCTATCGAACGATCGATCGATCGATCGATCACGTATAAAACCGATGACCCACGTTTATGAGACGTTTAATCGACCCAAATTCCTTTACCAAACTGTTAATTTAAATTTTACGAATTTTTTTTTTGTTTTATTTATTTTCGATAAATCGATCGATTCGATTCGATTATTTGTTTATAACGAGAGGGAAAGGTTGAATGACTCGTGAAATTGTTTTTTTTTTTGGGTTAAATATTTTATTTCGGAAAAGGTCATATAAAATACAAAATGCCGTTAAGAGAAGTTAAACATGTTTCTAAAAATGTAAAAAAAAAATTTGTTCGACAATCGCGTTTGTCTCAGAAAGTTTAAATTTTTTTTTTTTTTTTTGTATAGTTTACTATTATTATTATTATTATTATTATTTTAATTAATCATCTAATAATTGTTTGTAGCAGAAGAGAAAATGTTAAACTTTTGACAACAACCGAATACTTTTATCCGTTATTACAAATAACAGTTAAAAAAAATTTAAAATTTTCATGTTTGTTTGTTTTGTCAACAACAACAACGACAACAACAACAACAATTCGTCAATTTAAAACCTAAAATACGCGGCGCCAAAAATATTCGAACGAAAAAAAAAATTCGTGACTAAAATTTAAAAATTTTCAAAAAGAAGGAAAAACAACAAAAACGAGAACAAACAATTATTTATAAATTTAAAAAAAAAAGTTTTAAAATCTAGAAAACCGTGTAAGATCATTTTAATAATAATAATAATTATTATTATTATTAAATTATTTTAAAAGTCGCGTATTATAATTATTTAAAAAAAAAAAAAATAATCACTGGCCGTAAATTATTACCGCGTTTTTTTTTTTTTTAAAAATTTAAATTAAAACGTTGGTGACCGTTAAAAACTAGTTAATTATTATTATTATTATTATGAATAAATAATAATAAAAAAAAAATATTTAAAATAAAACAACAACAACAACAATTTAAATAACGACAACTTTAAAATAAATTTATTGTTACCGTACGAATTAATTATTTTTCAAAACCGGAAATGGTTAAAATTTATTTTTATTTGTTTAAAAAAAAAAAAAAAAGAGAGACAAGAGAAATTCGTTTTGAAATTTTGACATTTTCTACAAGAAATAATTTTTATTCTCTTTTTTTTGGTGTTTTGGGATTGAAGAACCGGAAATAGTAAAAATAAACAAAAATCATAAACCGGATGTAGTTTTAATAATACGACGAATAATAAATTTAATATAAAAAAAAAATAAGGAAAATTTTTTAGGTTCGAAACTTTTTTATAAAAAAAAACTATCGTAAAATTATTATTATTATTTATTATTATTAAAATATTATTTATTTAAATTAAAAAATAACACGTGATCAAACTGATAACAATTTTTAATAAAAATAATTCGTAAAAATTTATTAACAAATACGAATAATAAACATTTTCGCCATTATCCAGCAAAAGTGTAACGACTTTTTTTTACTTTTTCGACCGACGTCATTTATTTATTTATTTTATTTTAAAAGAAAATTATTTAGAAAGTTAAAATAACATTCGAGTAATAAATAACATTTTTCTTTACCCCCCCCTACCCCTACCTCCTCGCAAAAAAAAAAAATGAGGAACGCTTTATCTTCATGTTCGTTAATAATTATTTTTCTTTCGTAGCCATTTAAAATAAAAAATTTTTTTTTATACAACAACAAACAATTTTTTTTTGTACAAACGTTACAACGATGTTGTTGTTGTTGTTGGAGTAATTTTTCAATTTAAATGTTTAAACAAATTCGGAGTAGCAAAAAAAAAAAAATGACGTTCGCAAATGAGCCAAACCTTTAAAATACCGTTAATAAAAAAAAAAAAAAAATGTTTACCTACTAAAAATGGCAATACTCGACAACAAACCGAATTATTTAAATATTATTATTATTATTATTATTATTATTATTAATTATTTAAACGGTAAAAAATAATTTTTAACTTGCTTTCTTGCTTGTCCGTTTTTTTTTTTTTTTTTTATAAAAACTTTCATCTTTAATTATAAATTAACAAATTAATTAATTAATTAATTTAACCGATAAGAAAAATTTTTAAATTATTTAGTTTTTAGTTCTGCTCTTAAAATTCTAGAATCTTCTTTAATAACAAAATTTTAAAAAAATGAAAAAAACCGCGTAAATTGTAACGGTAATAAATTTAACGAAAAAAAAGGAACTTTAATCCGCCATATTGAATTGATTTTTTTTAAAAAAACGAAAAATTTCGAATTACTTTTCGAAAATACATTTTTTAACTGTAAATTTAAAATGGCCGTTTTGCTATTATTATTATTATTATTATTATCATCAACGTATGAAAATTCCAAAAAAAAAAATAAAAAACGAAAATTTATGATGCTGCGGTTGTTGTTGTTGTTGTTGTTGTTGTTGTTGTTGCTGTTGCTATAGCTGATTTCGCAAATTTTTATTAAATTTTAAATTTAAACGTGACGTCATTATTATTACCGTTAATAATTTTTTTTTTTTTTTTTTACTTATGGTATAAACTACCTTAAACACCTTAAAAACCTTAATTTCGTTTTTTTTTATTTCATTTACTTTTATTTTAATTTTCATTGTGTGTGAGAGTGAGAGAGAGCAAAAGAGAAAGAGAGAAAGAGAGAGAGAGAGAGATTAAAATAAATAATTACACTAACCTGTTTTTAAAATAAAACTCGTATCGTGCATTTATTATTATTATTATTATTATTATTAATCGCTATGAGTAATTAATTATTTCCTTAGTTCGGTACTTTTTTTTCCTCGTACCTCAGGTGATGAATTGAAGGATGCGTCGTCACCTGTAAATAATAATAATAATAATGATAATAAGGTAACGGAATTAAATAAAAAAAATAATTGTGATTATTATTATTATCGATGGAGATTCGACACGTGACGTAATAAAAAAAAATTTATCACGTTTAAATTATCGATTATCGATTATTTATTTTATATTTATCGACCGGAAATTAATGTCCGAACGGGAAATTTGTTCGATTTATACGTTTAACCGTTGGAAAATTTAAAAAAAAAAAACGGAAACGGAAGGGGATGACGTTAATGACACGACAAATTTTTTTAAAAAACTGAATTGATAACGTACCAAATTTGCCTTTTAATGTGTGGGTGATACGAAAAAAATTTTTTTTCCGTAACGCCTTCATTCATCATCATCGTCGTCATCATCATGGTGGAAAACCCGTTATTTATTTATAATAAATAAATAAATAAAAACAAATTTTTTCCGACCTGGAAAGAAAAAAAATGTGCGTAAATAATTACTCTACAACGCAAATAATAATAATAATAATAATAATAAGCCTGAAGTTTTTTTTTTTTCGTCTAGTTTGTTTAAATTTTTTTTTTTTTTTTTATATCGTTACGTAATTTTTTTTTTTTTTTATTAGTCGATTTAATTTGTGTTTTCACGCCATTAATTTTTATTACCACCTTTAACCATAGCTAAAAAGTCACTTTTTTCCTTTTTTAGATGGTTGCCGGTATGGTAATAACGGTATACGAATCTCAAGCGGTTATTAATTCGTCCGACCGTCAACCAGATATTAATTTAGATTTAATAGAAGAACCTCCCGAAGGTTATTATGCTTTCGTCGAATCTCCTAGCGCAGAACCACCCAAAGTTCGACGACCCCCTTATGTTCAATCTGATATGGAATGTCCAGGTAAAATATTTGACCTTGTTTTATTATTATTATTTTTTGTTTTTCATCTCTCTCTCTCTCTCACTCACTTCCTCTTTCTCTATAATGTTAAACTATTGTTATTACCTTGTATCCTTAGATGAAAACTCTTGTCTCATCCGCTTTTCCGATGTCGCATCTCTTAGGATCTTCTGCTTCGTTTATAAACAAAAAAATTTTTCCTATTTTAATTTCAGGTTTGAAAAAAAACAAAGGAAAAATTAATCCCCACATATACAAAACGTTGAGTTTGTGCGGAGATTTGAACAAGGGTTACATTCCGAAAAATCCAATGCAACAAAATGTTTTAGGAAGTTCTTATCCTTTGTGAGTTGTTGTTGTTTGTTGTTTGTTGTTTGTTGCAGTAAAAATAATACACCGATAAAAAAATTATGTTTAAATTTTCTTTTTACAGCGAATTAATAAAAAATAAAACTCTTCAGTTTTTTAGTAAAGTTCTACCGATATTAAAAGCAGATGAAACTTTACCAAAAGTTGCTAAATATCAACAATTTGAAGGTTCAGTTAATAAGTAAGATGAAAAAAATTTTTTTTTTCTTTTTCCGGTTCCGGTTTCGTAGGAATTTATATTTAAAAAAAATTTTTTTTTTTTTTAGAATATCGAAAAGTTTAAGATTGAAAAGAAGTTTGTCGGAATTTGACAATTCGAGTTCTTTTGTTGCGAATTTAACCGATGCCATTACGAGAGAAAATAAAAGCATGAAAAGATCCGGAAGAAAATTTTGTGATAATAATGATGGAGTGTAAGTATTTTCGTACCTTACTTTGAAATTTGTTCTTTATTTTGCAAAATAATAAATTTTTTTTATTTAGGTTGTGCATGTTGTATAAAGCGCTACAGGGTGAAACGGGTCTCGTACCTCAAACATTTTACGATAGAAAAGACGATCAACCGAATAATGAAACTCCAGAATTTAGAAGGGGAGAAACGACATTACCGGCCTCGCCAAAAGAAAAATCTTTACCGCCAACGCCATGTCCGGCAAAAGTTGAATATGCCACTCCCGTATTTGCAAGAAACTACCAAGGGGTATGGAGATACGTCGTGCAAATCCCTTACGAAGGATATTTCACTCAAACGATAGAAGTCACGAGATGCGTGTACGTAAATATAAAAACCTTCCATTTAAAAAAAAAACCTTTTTCGAATAATAATAATGATAACAATTTAAAAATTTTCAGAAACACGCGTTGTCATTATTTAGAAGGAGGTTGCATGTCTTCCCCTAGATGGACAAGCATACTCGTTGCCGAAATTTATTATCCGGATACGTATTTACCATCGAAATCAGGTTTATCGCAATCTTCGCAATCATCATCATCATCTTGGTCGGGATATCGTAATCCGGTATCGTCAGATAATCCACCACCCGTACAAGATTTTCAAAATTATCAACAATACCTTCAAAAAAGAGCAGGTTTAAGTCTCGCACCGGATAACAGTTTAAACGAATCGAAAAAATCAATGCATTGCGATGGAATCGACGAAATCGGATGTTTTCAGGTACGCGACGGAAAAAAAAAAAAAAAAAAATTTTCTTTTAAACATAAATTAAAATAAATTATTATTTACAGGTTCGATTATATTACGATTGGTTTCTCGTACCCGGAAGTTGTAAATGTTGGAAACCGGATTATTTTTCTAAATACATGAGAAGAAAACCGGAAATGTAAAAAAAAAAATCATTTTAAATCCAAAAAAATAAAAATAAATAAAATTTGAAGCTTTAAAATTAAGTAAAAATTAACGTAAAAACGATTGTTACACGTGTACAATTTTACAACGACATTTTTTTACGTCACTTCCGTTGTAATAATTTTAAGATCTCTCAATATAAATTCATTCTCTCTCTCTCTCTCTCTTTCTTTTAATACATCCGGTAACTGGAAATATTAATAATATAAAAAATAACAATTTCCAATTTCGCTAGTCTACATTAATAAAATAAAACTTAAAAACCATCAGGAAAAGCGTTTCCGGTTTCCTCTTCTTAAAACAATAATTTTAATTACTGTAATATATATTTATTTTAATTTTAAGTTATGTATTAAATTATTATTTATTTAATTAATAATAATAATAATAATAATTTTTTAAATAAATAAATTGTTTTTTAATTTTTCCCGCCAAAAAAATTTAAAATATTTTTCTCTGATCGGAGTTTTTCGTGAAAAACTTTAAAATAAACTCCCTGGAAACGGAAAAACGAAATCGGAGAATGTTTACAAAATACGAATTTATAACCTTTTATTTACCCTTGAATTATCGATTTGTACTATTATTATTATTATTATAAAGGGTTTTAATGCGTGAAGGGTGGTTTTTTAAATAATAAATAAATATCGAGGTGTAAGAAAATGATTCGTGTCAATGTTTTGTGTGTTTTTGTAAGAGTTTTGAACGATTTTTGTGAATGTTTTGACACAAAATGTGAAATAAAATATTAAAAATGCATTGTAAAAGAAAAAAAAGAATTTACGTACCTGAAAGAAAAGAACGAAGAGGACTTCCGTGGCTTCCTATTGTCACAGACGAATTAGAAACTCCATCCGTTTATATAGAAAATGCATACGCGTGTTGTCCGTATCCTCCACTCCTATTAGAAAAATCATGGACGAGATCGGTACCGATCAGAGTAAGTTTATACCTTCCTTCCGCCATATTGCTTACTATCGACCTGAATTAAAAAAAATTTACAATTTTCATCAGGATACTTTCGAATATACAAAACCCTCGGATGAAATCGGATGTAGTTTTAGTTTAAATGCAACAAGAATGAATATTCACATGTTACCCCCACAAAAAAAAGAAAGTTGCCCTTGCCCGATACCATTGAGTGGTAATTTAGGTTACCCTAACAAAGAATGGCTCGAAATGGTGGAAAATTATAAAGAAAAATTTAGAAAACTCAAAGCCGAACAAAAACTCGATGTTCGTGTCGTTAAACTCAGGGTAATTTTCTTTTATTTCAATTTTCACATTATTTTTCTTAATGACACGTTCAAATCTTTTTTTTTTTTTTTTTGTTAACTTAAAAAAAATTTTAGGATCTTTATTCCGGTAGTTATTTTAAAAAAAAAGAAGCGAGAGAAGAAGCTAAAAGAAGAAAATTGGAAAAACCGGAGGAAACGTTAACCGATTATCTAGCTAAAGTGGAAATAGAAATAAATGAAGAACGGATGTACGGTTTGATCTAATATTAGGTACACAAATATATAAATTAATGCCCCGACTATAAAATATATATGATTCAAAAAAGAAAAATCAATTTAATAATAATAATAATAATAATAATAATAATAATAATAATAATAGAAAATTAATTTGTTTAACAGATCGAGGGGCAAATTTAAAATTTAAAAAAAAATTTAATTTAATTTATGATTTTTTTTTTTATGTTTGATTAATGATCGGCAGTTTTCGATAATAATAATGATAATATGGGATAAATAATAATAATAATTTGATATTTAAGGCATTTTAAAAAATTAGAAGCGTCTTTACCGGTGGATCCGGATGTACAAAGAGAAAAATTATTAAAAATAATTCAAGCAGAACAAAAAATGTACGTTCGAGAAGAAGATTTATCGAGGATACATTACTATAGAACTATAGCTATAGAAGATTATCATTATGATCCGTGTCCGAAAGAACATTTTGTAAATGCTAAAAAAAAAATTTCTCCAAAATTATTTCTCAGAATAGAGTAAGTTTATTATTATTATTATTATTATTTGCTGATCCTTCTTTTTTAACAAATTAAATTTTTTGTTTTTTTTTTGGCAGGAATCGAATGTTGGTGAGAAAACTCGAAGAAGAAATTGGACAATATTATGCAGTTAGCGCAAAAGAAGCCATTTTAGATTACATATTATTAGATCCGTTCGAACGTAATAGATTACAAATACGAACGTATCCTATTAAATATCCAACGATCGTTATAACATCTCCTGTACCATGGCACTGTAACAAAACCATATCCCATCAAATGCTCGAAAAAAATTTATACATCGGAAATCCAATATTCGATCGTTTGCAAAATCTTTGGTTCGAAGGGTAAATCCGCCATTTTTTTTCCTCTTTCGAATATTTATTACGTCATATAAAAATGTTTTGATTTTTTCAAAAGGTACGACAGCATGTATATTTTACCATTTGACGAATTGACAAAAGGTTTCATACCGTTAAGAGTCGATCAATTCGAAGAAAGAGTATCGAAAATATGTTCGAAAGCTAAACACGTGCTTGTTAAAAAATGGGTACCTGAATGCGCAAACGTAATTAAAGAAATGTCACATTATTGGATTCATTTGATACCGAAAAAACCTGAAGATTCAATTCAGGGTGTAAAAAAATTTTTCACGAGCGTTGCTGCTTTAATGTCAATGCAAATGAGAACTCTTGTTATGAAATCTCTAGAACATTTTTGTTCGAATTTAATGAAATACGAGGTTTGTGGATTCGTTTTCATTTCGAACCCCAATTTGAAAGAAAAAATTTTTTGTCTGTTTTTTTTTTTGCGAACCAGGGCGGAAACGAATACGAAGAACCCTACGAAGATTTCATGTTTATAAACATTTCCCTATTGTCGACAAAAGTTAAAAACGAAGAAGGAACGACAAGATTTTATTTGGAACCTTCATTAAAAGACATTAGAGAAACCATTCATAAAACTTTTAATAAAATAATCGAAGTTAATAAAAATGTACCGAGAATCGAAGCCGTTTTACTCGAAGGTTTTTTTATTCTTACTCAATTCTTATCATTATTATTATTTCTATTACGCCCCCCATATACGCTTCGGCGTTTGTAAAAAAATTTGAAAAATTTAAACATTTTTAGAAATGTCCGATCTTAGTTTGATGCCCGTTTCAACAAGCGAAGAAGATGTTAAAGAGTTAATAAAAAAAGGTTTGTCGTCATTCGATGCCAACCAACGGGGACCCCTCATCTACATAAAAAATTTCGAAGTTTACAATTATATATTTTCCGGGGAGGCAAAAAAAAATTTAACAAATTTTTTCGAACAGGAATTTTTTCCAAGTTTGAAGGTTTTTAAATTAAATATTTATCATTATTATTTTTCCTTATCGCGATATTCAAAACCTTTGTTTTTTTTTTTTTTTTTGGGGGGCATTGTATTTTTTAGGATTTCGAAGTGAAAATAAAAGAATATCGAGAGGTTTGCGACGAAATAGCACTTTTAAGAAAAACGATACCTTTAAATTTTATTTCATTGGATTGTTCGGAAATAAATGATAAACTTTACAACGCCGTCGACAGTTTGACTAATTTTATCGTCGATTATTTCGTTACGGAAAATCGTAATCATAACAGAGAGTGAGATTTATAAAAAAAATTTATGAAAATTTTTTGTTAAGACCTCAATACGAACGTTTAAGCGATTCTTTTCGTTTTGATTTTTAGAATATGTTCAGTTTTCGATAAAATGTCATTCAGAGCAAGCGAATTACCGGAAACTACGGCTGAATTAGTCGAACTAACAAATTATCTATCGGAAAGTAGAAATTCTACCATGTTTAAATTAAAAATGAAAATTCAACTCACGGCTCAATACGTTTTATTTTTAATGAATCAAACGATTCTTCCAGGTTTGATTAAAAATTTAAATAAAAAATTTATTCGATAACAAAAAAAACATTTATTTACTTTTTGTTTTTTTTTTAAATAGTCGAAGACTTACAATTAAATTCGAGAGTGTTTCTATGGCCGAATGACATGGAATCGGTTTTGGAATTGGCAACTCAAAGGCTCAGCCACAGACGTGACGCAGTTGAAAATGTATTGAAAGCTAAAAGGACGGATTTCGATGAAACACTCGAAGAACATCAAAAAATTTTAGATTCTTTTAAAAAAAAAGATCCTCCACTTTTAACTATGGAAGAAATGAAAGAAGCCGTCGAAGCAGTCGAAGATTTGGTTCAAAAATTAAAAGATGATAAAAGAGAAGCTGAGGTGATCCTAATGACACGTTTTTTTTTTGGTTAGAATAATCATAAGACTCGCATTTTTTTTATTTGCAGAGTATAAACGAAGAAGAACAATTATTGGAATGGGAAATCACACCATTTATGTCTTTAGGTAATATGTTAGTCGCCGTGGAACCATTTCAACAATTATGGAGAACGGTTTACGATTGGCACGTCAATAATGAAAGATGGTACTATGGTAAAAAAAAACACGTTCGTTATAATTTCCAATCGAAATATTAAAAACTCATCTAAAAAAAAAACTTACACAAATTTTCAGGACCCTTTAAAGGTTTAGACGAAAACGAAATAAGAGAAGAAGTCGAAACCGTTTGGAAAATACTTTATAAATTAGCAAAAACCTTTCACGACATACCTGGTTCTAAAAGAGTCGCGGAAATCGTACGAGCCAAAGTCGAAAAATTCAGACAGTATCTTCCGGTTTTGCAAGCGATTTGTAATCCAGGAATACAAGACCGTCACTGGGCTCAGGTTTGTATACCGTGCGTGTGAAACTTCCTACGGGTAGTACCAGTCAAACTGACGTGACGGATAATTTTTTTTTACAAATTCAGATGAGTCAATTAGTCGGTATGGAAATCGAACATTCCGATACTGCATCATTACACGAAATGATTGAAATAGGAATGATAAAACATTCTGCCAAACTCGAAGAAATAAGTATAGCGGCAACTAAAGAATACACTTTGGAAAGAGCATTGGAAAAAATGAAAATGGAATGGGATGATGTTATTTTCACATTAAATCCGTACAGGTACTTATCGAAACGAATTTTTTCTGGTTGTTTTATTTTTATTTTTTCCTAAAACCTTTTCCCTCCCTCCCAAAAAAAAAGAGAAACTGGAACGCATATACTTTCGAGTATTGACGATATACAAATTATGCTGGATGACCACATATTAAAAGCTCAAACAATGAGAGGATCCCCGTATGTTAAACCTTTCGAACGTCAAATGCAAAGTTGGGAAGAAAAATTAATATCAATGCAAGACATATTGGATGCGTGGTTGTTGGTGATTAAATTTTTTTTTTTTTTTTTATTACTAATCCTGGGAAAAACGCAAAATTTTTCACAATTATTTTATTTTTAAGTGTCAATCGACTTGGATGTATTTGGAACCTATATTCAGTTCGGAAGACATATTGAGACAAATGCCGGAAGAAGCAAAAAAATTTAGAAAAGTCGATAAAATATGGAAAATGATAATGAAAGCGACTTTGACGGACGCGCACGTATTGGTTGCAACAGAACAACCGAACATGTTGAAAAATCTTAGAGAATGTAATACTCTATTGGATGAAATTCAAAAAGGTCTTAATAATTATTTGGAAAAGAAAAGATTGTTCTTTTCGAGGCAAGAAATTTCTCTATGTGCTTTTTTTTTTACGCACTCGCGCGAGCCCCCCAAAAAAAACGTCTATCTACTTTTATACTCATAGGTTCTTCTTTTTGTCAAATGATGAACTTTTGGAAATTTTATCTGAGACGAAAGATCCGAAAAGGGTACAACCTCATCTCAAAAAATGTTTCGAAGGTATATGGACGCTCGAATTTACTGCCGATGAAGAAATTATTGCCATGAATTCTGCCGAACACGAAAGGGTACCACTGAGTGGTAAAATCATACCAGCCGAAGCAAAAGTGAGAAAGACACCAACAGTTACCGGTAATATTAATTAAACAAAAATAAAAAATTACCTGGTTTTTATCCATAGGGAATGGTTGAAAAATGGCTGTCGCAAGTCGAAAGTCTCATGTTACAATCCGTCCGTGAAATATGCATGGAAGCTGTATCCGCTTACGTTTCGACCAAAAGAGAAAAATGGGTTTTAAGTTGGCCTGGACAAGTTGTCATTTGTGGAAGTACCATACACTGGACGGCTGAAGTTTCTGAAGCTATTGAAATGCAAACTCTTGATGTTATTATCCTTTTCTTTTAGTTTTTTTTGTCTTCCATCTCGCTTCTGTAACAAAAAAATTTTTTTTTTAGAAATATTTAGAAAAATGTCAATCGCAAATTGAGAATCTTACTCAATTGGTAAGAAGTCCTTTGACTAGTGGATCAAGGATAACAATATGCGCATTGATTGTAATCGACGTTCACGGTACGTTAAAATTTTCCAGTAAAATGTTATAAAATTAATTACGAACTTTGACCTTTTTTTTAGCAAAAGACGTGGTCGCGCAATTATGCAAATTAAACGTTCGTCAAATAACCGATTTTAACTGGGTTAGTCAATTAAGGTACTACTGGAGAGAATCAACGGTTATCGTATCGATGATAACGACGGATGTTAATTATGGATTTGAATATTTGGGAAACACTCCCAGATTAGTTATAACGCCATTAACCGATCGGTGTTACAGGTATAACCTAATCCTTCTCTTTTAATTTTTAAAATTTAAAAAAAAAAAAAAAAACTCACTCGAATTTTTAGAACTCTTATGGGTGCCCTGAGATTGCATTTAGGAGGAGCTCCAGAAGGACCCGCTGGAACTGGAAAAACGGAAACGTCCAAAGATTTAGCCAAAGCTCTTGCTAAACAATGCGTCGTTTTTAACTGTTCCGACGGTTTAGATTATAAAGCGATGGGAAAATTTTTCAAAGGACTCGCACAATCTGGAGCCTGGTCATGTTTTGACGAGTTTAACAGAATCGAAATTGAAGTTTTATCCGTAATTGCACAACAAATTCTAACCATCCAATTGGCCATTCAGCAAAAGTTGAAAAAATTCATTTTCGAGGGTACCGAACTTGTTCTTAATCCCAGTTGTAACATCATAATCACCATGAATCCTGGGTAAATTAAAAAAAACGCATAAACGAATTTAATTTTTGTTTTTAAAAAATTAAACTAATAATTTACATTGCGTGCAGGTATGCAGGTCGTCAAGAACTTCCGGATAATTTAAAAGTTTTATTCCGAACGGTAGCCATGATGGTTCCTGATTACGCAATGATAGGAGAAATTTCTTTGTATTCTATGGGATTTGATGCCGCGAGAAATTTGGCTGAAAAAATAGTCGATACCTATAAATTATGTTCTGAACAATTATCGAGTCAACATCATTACGATTATGGTATGAGAGCAGTTAAAACCGTACTTTTAGCAGCAGGAAATTTAAAATTAAAATATCCGACATCAAAAGAAGATGCGCTAGTTTTAAGAGCCATAGTCGATGTGAACCTTCCAAAATTTTTATCCGAAGTAATTTTTCCACATTTAAACAAGTTTTATTAAAAATAATTTTTTTTTTTTTTCGTAACAAAAAAATTTTTTTTTTTTTTCCAGGACGTTCCACTTTTCGAAGGTATCATATCCGATTTATTCCCTGACGTAAAATTACCTAAACAGGATAGAGATGAATTAGTTGAGGAATTGATAAATTCTTGTAAAAAAAGAAATCTTCAACCGACCGAATGGTACCTGGACAAAATTATACAAATTTATGAAATGATTAAAGTCAGGCACGGACTCATGATTGTCGGAGAACCTTTGGGTGGAAAAACAATGGCTTATCAGGTATGTTTAATACAATAAAATTAAATAAATTTCGTACTTGCTGGAATTTGTTAAATCGTTACAAAAAAAAATTTTTTTTCGACAGAGTTTAGCCGAAGCTTTGGGAGAAATAAATCAAAATAAAAAAGTTTCAATGAAAGAATTTAAGGTTCAATATAAAATAATAAATCCTAAAGCTATAACCATGGGACAGTTGTACGGTTGTTTCGATGCTGCATCTCACGAATGGTCCGACGGAGTTTTGGCAACAGCATTTAGAGAATTTGCTAGTTCCGTATCGCCCGACAGGAAATGGATAATCTTTGACGGTCCTATTGATGCCGTATGGATAGAAAATATGAACACAGTGTTGGACGATAATAAAAAATTATGTTTGATGTCGGGTGAAATTATTCAGGTACCAAAAAATAAATAATCAAAAAAAAATTTTTTTTCTTAAGCGTAGAAAAAAAAAAAATTTCTTTCTTTTCAGATGTCGAACAAAATGAATTTGATATTTGAACCGGCAGATTTGGAACAAGCTTCTCCAGCAACGGTTTCCCGATGTGGAATGATTTATTTGGAACCCCAAAGATTAGGCTGGAGAGCACTTCACGAATCATTTAATAATAAATTACGTGAAAAATTAATTCCAGAACAAATGGAAATATTAGATGAATTGGTTGATTGGTTGATCGATCCGACTTTGCATTATATTTTTCATTATGCCAAAAGATTTGTCAATTCTTCGAGTTTACATTTGTTTATGGTAAAAAGAAAAAACATGGTTGTTGTTATCGATACAAAAATTATTTTTTAATTTTTTTTTTTTTTTCCAGATGTACAGTAAATTACTGACTTGCATGCTGGAAGACGAATCCCAATTTGCCACAGTTTGGCTTCAGTGCACGTTTTTATTTTGTTTAGTTTGGGGATTCGGTGGGTCGATGAATGGAGAAAGTACAAAAAAATTTGATCTTTGGTTTCGAAAACTTTTATTAGATCAAGATGAAAAACATCCACGTCCGAAAATGTTTAAATTATCGAGACATCAATTGTTTCCGGAAAAAGGAACCGTTTTCGATTTTGTTTACGATAAAAAAAACAACGGAACTTGGATTCAATGGTTGGATTTGGTTGACAAAGTATCCGTTAATTATCATACGACATCTAAGGTATCCCCGTACAATCGTCATAAGTTTTCTTTTCAACCCTACCCCCCGCCCCCCAAAAAAAAAATTTCACTGGAATTTTATTCATACAGGTCAGCGAATTAATCATTCCGACGAACGAAACGTGTTGTCAAAAATTTTTTCTAGAACATTTCATAACGAAAAAAATGCCATTACTTTTCGTCGGTCCGACGGGAACTGGAAAATCGTGCATTGTTTTATCACATTTAATGGCATTACCAAAGGACAAATATTTACCAAACATAATAAATTTTTCAGCGAGAACAACTGCTAATCAAACACAAGAAATCATCATGTCGAAACTTGACAGGTCAAACGGATAAATTTTTGACAAACTATTAATTAAAAAATTGTTTTGTAAATTTAATTTACCGTTCGTTTAGGCGACGAAAAGGTGTTTACGGTCCTGCCATGGGTAAACAATGCGTTCTATTCGTAGATGACTTATCTATGCCACAAAAAGAAGTGTACGGTGCTCAACCACCGATAGAACTTCTTCGACAATGGTTAGATCACTCACATTGGTACGATCCGAAAGATACAACAAAATTCGAACTTGTCGATATTGTAGGTATAAACACTAAAACAATCAACGGTTTACTTGTGCGTAACTTATTTGTTTGTTTGTCGTCCAAAAAGTTGTTTGTTGGCGGAATGTTACCCGCAGGAGGAGGTTCAAATGAAGTAACATCGAGATTTATCAGACATCAATACATTGTCGGAATAGAATCATTCGAAGAGAGCACTCTTAAAAAAATATTCGGATCAATCATGGAATGGCATCTGAACAAAAATTTCGATGACGCAATCAAACGACTCGGAAAAGTAATTTTCTTTCAATTGTTTTCACTTTAAAAAAAATTAATAGTATTATTATGATTGGGAAAAAACTTTTCCATAGGGTTTGGTCGAAGCAACGTTGGAAGTTTATCAAAATGCCATAGCAAGTTTTCTTCCTACCCCGGCTAAATCTCATTATTTGTTTAATTTGCGAGATTTTTCGAGAGTCATAAGAGGAGTTCTTTTATGTCCGAGTACTCACATGAACGAAACGGAAAAATTTGTCAGATTATGGATACACGAATGTTATAGAGTGTTTCAAGACAGGCTCATAAACGAAAGGGACAAGTCGGTGAAAAGTCTATTTAAAACCAAAAAAAAAAAAAAAAAATGGCGTCAAAAATTTTAAATAATAATAATGTTTACGTGTGTGTTGTTTTACAGACTCACTTTGTTTGGCATCGTTTACAGAGCCGTACAACCGAATTTTCGTATGCCTATAGAAAAAGTTTGTGCGAATCTCATGCCTGAAGATGAAAATGTATTGACCGATTCTCACATAAGAAATTTATTTTTTGGAAATTACATAGAACCCGATGCGAATCCAAAAGTTTACGACGAAGTAAACAAACAACCAAACAAACAAATAATTATTTATTTATCCTCCCTCGAACTTGAATTTCGTTAAAAAAATTTTTTTTTTTTTTTCCCCTTCGAATTTCAGATTTCAGATTTAGACGAATTGGCGGAAAAAATGAATTATTATTTAAACGAATATAATTTAGTATCTAGAACCCCGATGTCTCTCGTCATGTTTAAATTTGCCATGGAACACATTTCGAGAGTGTCAAGAGTACTCTTACAAGAATCCGGTCATTGTTTGCTTGTGGGAATCGGAGGATCCGGAAGACAAAGTTCGACGAGAATGGCCGCATCAATGGCAGAATATTTCTTATTTCAGGTACGAAAAAATCGCTAATAAAAAAAAGCAAAACAATTTTTTTTTTTTTCTCATTGAACCTGTATGTATAATCACACAGATAGAAATCGCTCGTCAATATTCAACCCTGGATTGGAGAGAAGACATAAAAACGTTACTTAAAAAATGCGGAAACGATGACAAACCCGGCGTTTTCCTATTTTGCGATTCTCAAATAAAAGACGAAGGATTTGTTGAAGATATAAACATGCTATTAAATTCAGGAGATATTCCAAATTTGTTTTCCGGTGAAGAAAAAGCCGAGATATTGGAAAAAATGACTACGGCTATACAACCTTCGGTAGGGGAAAGAAAAAATGAAAATTTGTCGAAAAAAAAAAAAAAAATAACTCGCGTTTGAATTCGTTTCAGGGTAAAAAAATAGAAATGACACCTTTGTCTCTTTATAATTTTTTCAACGAAAGAGTTCGACAAAACCTTCACATATCTTTGGCAATGTCACCCATCGGTGAAGCCTTTCGCGTACGTTTGAGAATGTTTCCATCATTGGTTAATTGCTGCACTATCGATTGGTTTATGGCATGGCCAGAAGATGCATTGGAAAAAGTGGCTACAAATTTCCTTACTCCAATGGGTTTCGACGAAGAACTAACGGAAAGTTGTGTTAAAATGTGTAAAGATTTTCACACAATCGTACAAAATAAATCCGAAGAGTGAGTTTTTGATATTAAAATTACCTTCGAATATATTCCTACGAATAATAATTCAACAATTTTTTTTTTTTTTTTTCGTTTTCAAATTAGATTTTATAAAACCTTAAAAAGAAGAAATTACGTCACACCCACTTCGTATCTGGAATTGATAAAAACTTTTCAAAGCCTATACGGTACAAAAGTCAAACAATTAACGACACAAATAAATCGTTACGATGTAGGACTGGAAAAATTAGATTTCGCTGCGCATCAGGTGCAAATACATAAAAAAAAAAAAATTCTTAAATTTTTTTTCAATTTGAAATGATTTAAATTTTAAAATCATTTCAGGTTTCGATAATGCAAGACGAATTGCAAGCTTTACAACCCCAGCTTATGGTAACCTCTGAAAAAACGGAAAAATTAATGATTAAAATCGAACAGGATACTGTTGTCGTTGAAGCTAAAAAAGAAATAGTGGGAGCTGATGAAGCTTTGGCGAACGAAGCCGCAGCAGCTGCTCAAGCAATTAAAGACGATTGCGAGAGTGATTTATCCGAAGCAATTCCAGCTTTGGAAGCTGCCATAAACGCATTAAATACATTAAAACCAGCTGATATAACGGTCGTTAAATCAATGAAAAATCCTCCTGCTGGAGTTAAATTGGTATCGTATTTTTTTTTTTTTTTAACGAATTCTATAATTTTTTTTAATCGAGACTCTTCACGTAAGAAAATATTCATCAGGTAATGGAATCAATATGCGTGATGAAACAAATAAAACCGGAAAGAAAACCTGATCCCGGAGGAAGCGGTCGAATGATTGAAGATTATTGGGGTCCATCATTAAAATTATTAGGAGATTTAAAATTTTTAGAAAATTTAAAAGCATACGACAAAGATAACATTCCACCGGCGGTAATAAAAAGGATTCGTGAAAAGTAAATAATTGTTTAAAAACGTCGAAAAAGCATATCGTACTATCGACTCTAACCGTGACATTTTTTTTTAGATTTATTCCAGATCGCGATTTCATTCCGAATAATATAAAACAAGTATCCGCTGCTTGCGAAGGTTTGTGCAAATGGGTTCGAGCTATGGAAGTTTACGATCGTGTCATTAAAATTGTTGCTCCGAAAAAAGCAAAATTAGAAGAAGCCGAAGCCGAATTGGCGCTTCAAATGGAAACCTTAAATGCAAAACGAGCACAGCTTCAAGAGGTATCCCGTGGGTTTTACTTAAACATGTTTAACCATTCATATCAAACGAATAAAAAAATTTTTTTTTTTTTTGTGATAAGGTAACCGACAAACTCCAAGCACTAAACGACGAATTTGCAACAATGACAAAACAAAAAAAAGAACTCGAAGACAACATAGATTTATGCTCACAAAAACTAGACAGAGCAGAAAAACTTATAGGGGGTTTAGGTGGTGAAAAACAAAGATGGGCACAAACCGCACAAGATTTACGAGACACTTTGGACAACGTTGTAGGAGATGTACTTCTTTCGGCTGGTGTTGTCGCGTATTTGGGTGCTTTCACCGTATTCTTCAGACAGGTACGTACAAAAAAAAATTTTTACGCGGTATAATTAATTCTAAAGAAAATTCCGTTAAAAAAAAATGGCGTAATTTTTAGGACATAATAAAAGAATGGAATAAAATGTGCATGTCTTTAAACGTACCATGTTCAAACAATTTTTCACTCGTTCAAACATTGGGAAAACCCGTTTTGATAAGAAAATGGAACATTTGCGGTTTACCCGTGGATAATTTTTCTATTGAAAATGGTATCATTGTTAAAAATGCAAAACGTTGGCCCCTCATGATCGATCCTCAAGGTAAAATATTAACGAAATCGATTTTTAAAAAAATTATTTTTTTTTTTTGTACGACGCCATGTTTTTTTTTTTTAAAAGGTCAAGCAAACAAATGGATTAAAAATTTAGAAAAAGAAAATAATTTGGGAATAATTAAATTGACCGATAGTAATTATGGAAGAGTCGTGGAATTAGCGATTCAAAATGGTTACCCAATTATGTTAGAAAATATACTGGAGGAAATTGATCCAGCCCTCGGTAAATTCAATTACGTTCTTAACGGTTTCTTATCGATTTAGTAAGTCTAAAAATTATTTAAAAAAAACTTACAGATCCTGTTTTGCTGAGAAATGTTTTCAAACAAGGCGGCATAGAGTATTTAAACATCGGAGAAAATGCCGTTCCTTACAATCACAATTTCAGATTTTACATGACGACAAGACTTCGAAATCCGCATTATCTTCCGGAAATAGCAGTTAAGGTGAATTTCGAATTCAAATCCCTTAAAAAAAAAATAAAAAAAAAAATTTTAGAATTTTACAATGACGTTTTTTTTTTTTAACTCGTTTTAGGTGACTTTACTTAATTTTATGATAACGAGACAAGGATTGCAAGATCAACTTTTAGGTATCGTCGTGGCAAAAGAAAGACCCGATCTCGAAGAGAAAAAAAATTTATTAATTATAGAAAGTGCAAATAATAAAAAAATGTTAGAAGAAATTGAAAATAAAATTCTTCAAGTTTTATCATCGTCGGAGGGTAACATTTTAGAAGATGAAACGGCGAATCAAATTTTAACTTCTTCTAAGGTTTCAATCAACGAATTTCTCTTTTTTCTTTTTTTTACGATTCGATTCTGATTTAATTATTAAATCTCGTTTAGACTTTATCAGAAGAGATTCACGCCAAACAGGAAATAGCAGTTGCAACGGAAGAAGAAATTGATCATGCTAGAAATTCATACAAACCTGTATCCGAACACAGTTCCGTTTTGTTCTTTTGCATATCCGATTTAGCAAACATCGATCCAATGTATCAATATTCACTATCTTGGTTTATAAATTTATACGTTTTGGTACGTTAAATTTTTCCACGTGACACAAGATTTTAAATGAATTATTTCAACATTTGTTCTTTTTTTTCGTTCATCAGGCTATAGAAAACAGTGACAAACTTCCGGATCTGAAAGAAAGAATGGCGGCGTTAAACGAATATTTCACATATTCAATATACAAAAATGTTTGCCGATCGCTTTTCGAAAAAGATAAATTAATATTTTCTTTTGCATTAACGATCGGAATACAAAGATCACACGTAAAAATTTTTATCGATCAGACTTTAAATGATAATTTTTTATAATTCTATTAAATTTCATTGATTTTTTCAGAAAGAAATCGATGAAGAATTATTTACATTTTTTTTAACCGGTGGCGTGGCTTTATCAAATCCACATCCAAATCCAGCTCCGATGTGGCTGTCGGAAAAATCTTGGTCGGAAATCGTAAGAGCGACAAAATTACCCGGGTAAAATTTTTATTAAAATCCAAAAAATAATTTTTCACTTTACGGTCGTATTAATAAAATTTTCATTTCGTTTTTACAAAAGGTTGAGCCATTTTCAAAAATCGGTTGAAAGTAATATTTTAGAATGGCAAAAATATTACGATTCGCCATCTCCTCAAGATCAAAATATTCCACCGACGTTGAACGAACTCCAGGGTCTCCACAAATTGATTATTTTGCGATGTATAAGACCCGACAAAGTCGTACCTGCGGTTCAAAATTACATAGTTGAATTCATGTCTCAAAATTTTATCGAGCCGCCCGTGTTTAATTTGTCTGAAATTTACATGGATTCCAGTTGTACGACACCCCTCGTTTTTGTGTTATCTCCGAGTTCGGATCCGATGATGGCATTGATGAAATTTGCCGAGATAAAAGGAAAAAAAAGAACATTGCAAACCATTTCCTTGGGTCAAGGCCAAGTTAGTTAACCGTCATAGAAAAAAAAATTATTTTAAACATTTTTTGTTTTTTTCATACTTAAAACAAAATTAATTTAAAATTTAGGGTCCGATAGCGGCGAATATGATTTATCAATCGATTACAGCTGGAACATGGGTTGTTCTTCAAAATTGTCATTTGGCTGAATCATGGCTGAAAGAATTAGATAGAATAACGCAAGAAGTTATAGTACCGGAGAGCACGCATAAAGACTTTAGATTGTGGCTTACCAGTTATCCTTCGAATGCTTTTCCCGTATCCATTTTACAAAATGGTTAGAACCTTAATTTATCAAACAATTTGTTTTTTTTTTTTTTTTCTTGATATTGTTATAAAATTTTTGCAGGAGTTAAAATGACCAACGAAGCACCGAAAGGATTAAAATTAAATTTATTAAGATCATACACCAGCGATCCGATTTCAAATCCAAATTTTTTCGATTCTTGTAAACAAATAAATGCTTGGCAAAAATTATTGTTTGCTTTGGTATTTTTTCATGCTTTGGTACAAGAAAGAAGAAAATTTGGTCCTTTGGGATGGAATATACCGTACGAATTCAATGAATCCGATTTACGCATAAGCGTTTTGCAGTTACAGGTCTTATTAAATTTTCTATCCTTTTTTTTTTATTTCGTCTTTCATTTAATATTTATTTCCGAATTTTTTTAGATGTTTTTAAATGAATATGACACAGTTCCATTTCATGCATTAACTTATTTAACTGGAGAATGTAATTACGGAGGTAGAGTTACAGATGACAAAGACAGAAGACTCTTAAATTCTTTACTGTCGATATTTTATTGTCCAGAAGTCATTGAAAATCCAAGGTTTGTTATAAAACTTCCTAAACGTTAAAAATTCCATTTCCGCAAAAAAAAACTTTTCCGATATTTTTTTCTAATTTTTTTTCTTTTTTTTTCTTTTTTTTTCCCAAGCTATGTATTTTCCGACAGTGGACTTTATTACGTACCATTAGCTTCCGATCATGCTTCAATTCTTGAATATATAAAATCACTACCGTTAAATCCTAAACCGGAAGTTTTTGGACTCCATGAAAATGCAGATATTACAAAAGACAATAACGAAACGACAATGGTACGTAATAATCATCTAAAAATAATAATATCTTGAATAAATATTAAAAATTTATTAATTTATTAAGCTGTTGAGAGGAGTTTTACTCACTCAACCACAAATCGGTTCTGGAACGGGTGGAGAAGAAAAAGGCGATGAAGTATCTGAATTAGCAGCAAATATTTTAAGACAAATCCCAGATAAATACAATGTGGAAGCTGTTTCTGAAAAATATCCGATACTTTACATGAATTCAATGAATACGGTTCTTAAACAAGTGAGATATATAATTTTCTAATTACTCGTCCATTTTCTTATACAAAAATTACTAAAAAAAATAATAATAATTTTTAATTACCAAAAAAGGAATTGATTCGATTCAACCGATTGATTGAAGCCATAAAAACGAGTTTGGCTAACGTAAGGAGAGCAATTGCTGGAGAAATAGTTATGACACCGCAATTGGAAGAAGTAAATATGAGTTTAATTGTTGGTCGAGTTCCAGCTGTTTGGGCATCAAAATCTTATCCATCGTTAAAACCCTTGGGCAGTTACGTCACGGATTTTTTGCTAAGGTTAAATATATATAAGTTTAAAATTCATCCATCAACACAAGACGCCTGTAAATAAATTAATTTTTTTTTACCCAAGGTTAAAATTTTTACAAAATTGGATCGATAATGGAGTACCTACAGTATTTTGGTTATCCGGATTTTATTTCACGCAATCATTTTTAACAGGAGTTTTACAAAATTTTTCAAGGGCTAATAAAGTACCCATTGATAAAGTTGGATTCACATTTGAAGTAACGGATTTTGAAGCTCATGTACAAGTGGATAGTAATCCTCCTTTTGGTGTTTACACAAAAGTAAATTTTTTTTTTTTTTTTTTTTAATTAACTACTTTCTTTATAACAATTTAATATTTACAATTGTTTGGAATAAATACCAAACTAATAATTAAAATAAATAAAATAAAATAAATTTTTAAAGCATTACAAACCAACTCACACTCCAGATGAATTAACAAAATATTTCATGGTAAGATTAAATTAAATTTAATTAATTAATTTAGTTTTAATTTAAGATGTTAATACATGTTAAAGTTTGTAAAATTATTTTCTAAGCAAAATATTAAAGAGGAAAAAGATGGTGTCCTTATTTTTGTAAGTATATATGATATTATTTTATGCTTTGTAACAAATTTTTTTTGTCAAAAATTTGTTTATTTTGCAGAAATAAAAAGGTATGATTACATATAAAACATAATAAATTCTGGTAAAATCTTAGCTAATAAAAATATTTTTAAAATTATTATTATTATTATTTGTTTGGTTTATGTAAAATTTTATTTTACTAAATTAAGCAAAAATTAATTAGCTTTTGCAAGGGATTTTTATAACACAATTATTATGCATATTAATAATAAGTTATTGTGAGAGTACTTAAGAAAAATATATGTTGCATGATTTTTATAAATTAAATAGTTTTTTTAAGTAAATTTTTCAATTTTAATTTGATTGAATAAATGGTAAACTAATACATTTTTTTAGGGATTGTTTTTGGAAGGTGCTAGATGGGATAGATTAAACAAGGTACTTGCTGAATCTTTACCTAAAATTTTGTACGATTGCATACCCATAATATGGTTTAAACCTGGAGAGAAGGTATTTACGATAAAAATATTATAACGTTGGATTAACGTAAGCATTTCAAATTAAAAAAAAACAAAACTTATCTTGTTTTAAAGGCAAATTTTATTCCGGTTCCATCATACAAATGTCCCATATATAAAACCAGTGCTAGAAGAGGAATTTTATCCACAACTGGTCATTCGACTAATTTCGTTATGTTTCTAGAATTAATTAGTGATCAACCTGAAAAACATTGGATTAATAGAGGAGTTGCTTTACTTTGTGCATTAGATGATTAATTATATTTAGAGAGAAATAAAAAAATCAGAATAAAAAAAAATTTTTTTCTTATTCTCCCTTTCTGTGTAAAACTTTCAAAGTAAAAAAAATTAACTTTATGATTAACTTTAATAAATACCTTAACTTAATAAGAATATCACTCTTTAATGAAAACATTTTTTTGTTTAAATATTATTTATTTATAACAATTAAATGATCACATCGCGTTAAAAACCGTGATAATTAAAAAAAAATTTACTGATGCACTGAAATGGCGGTTAAAAATGACAATTATACCAAATTATTTATTTATTTATTTTTTTTGTTAGGTTGGCATTCCGTACTACGCAGAAAAACTCTTAAAGTGTTTTTGAATAATACATAGAAATGTAATCGGAGGCCTTATAAAAATTTATTAAAGTTTTTTTTTTTTTTTTTTTTTTTTGAATAATTATTCAGTATAAATACTGCCATTATGGATATATTTATCAAATTAAATTCTCAAACTGCAGGAAAAGACAAAATTGCAAGGTAGTTTTTGTTTTTTTTTTTTTACTTTGGATAATATTTTTGGTATTTACTTTGTAGATAATTGTCAAGTATTTTTGAGAAATTTTTTTTTTTTTTTGTAAAATTAATTTTAACTCGTCTATCATTTTGCCTGATTTATTATTTGCAACGTGTCATTGTTTATTAATTATATAAAAATTAATTCTCACTGCGTTTAAATTATTTGTACATTTTTTTTTTTTTTAGATTGGTTCAGTACTTTTGCCGAGCTATGTGGCATTATTTTCAAAAAAGACAATTTAATCCATACACAGTTGATAAATTAAAATCATTAGAATATACTTTAAGCACATTTCGCAAATGTAAGTCGAATGTTATTAAGTATTTTTTTTTAAAATGAAATTATTAAATTATTATTATTTTTGCATTAAAATGAATTAAAATTATTTTTAGTGCTCAGATTAGGAAAATGTTTGGAAGTTTTTTATGCAGCATATAAATCGATTCATTATGAAAACGTCACAATTAAATTAACGAGTACTCTGTCGAAAATATCGAATGCCCTGTATTTAATTTGCGATCATTTATTATGGATAGGAAGGTCAGGTTTAGCAAGTGTTAATACGAGTAAATGGTCACAAATTTCAAATAAATATTGGCTTTATTCTATCCTAATGAATTTAGTCAGAGATATTTATGAAGTAACCAAAGTCATTGAAAAAGAGAGTTTCAGGCTTAAATTTAGTGGTAAAACAATACCTCTTAAAAATAATATAAAAAAACAAATTATTTTATTCGCATCTATATTTATTAACGATCATAAAGATGTCCTTTGGGATTTTATTAAAAATGGGTGTGATGTTTGGATTCCTATGACAGCATTAGGTTATACAAAATTTAAACCTGGTACAATTGGGTTTTTAGGTACTATTTCATCCATAGCTGGATTGATAAGTATAATTAATCCAAGGGCAAAACTTGTTCCATGATAAAAAATAAATATTGTTATTTTACAAGCATGATCAAAGTACAGGTAAATTACAATGATCATGTGGTTTTTTTAGAAAGCTTGAATGTTTAATTGAATGATGTCAGACACACACACACACACACACACACTTACACTTCAAGTATGTCATTCCAAAGTACAAATATTAGGAAACAATTTTTAATAAAAATGAATTTCTGAATACTTTTTTTTTTTAACCGTTACAAGAATTATAAATCGTTTAATGAGGTTATTTTATACTAATAATAATAATAATAGTAAAATAAGCGAAAGAAATAATTTTTTTTTTGTTTTTAATTTTAAAATTATATTTTTATTAACAGCTCTATCAATTTTTTTTTTAAAAATGAAATCGAACAAATTTTTTTTATTAAAATTTAAGTGGGGGAGGAGGAGGAGTAAGAGAAATAATAATAATAAAACAAAACATTTAAGCATGAAAAGAAATAAATGAATATATTTAGTTAAAATTTACCATGACTTTTTAAAAAAAAATGTAATTTGTCTTCCACTTTGTTAAAATACATTTAAAAAAATTAATTAAACGGCTGTGTATATTTGTAATTGATAACAATAAAAATAATAATAAAGGAATATTATTTATTATTTTACGAATTTCTATACCGAAAGAAAAACATTTTTTTTTCCCTTATACAGCAATAAATGAAAAATTAATTTATATTTTTAATAATTTTGATATGATAATGATAATGATTTTTTTAGTTGTAAAAAACATTATTTATTATTATTTTATTATTAAGTTATAATAATTAGTTTTTTTTAAAATATTTTTTTAATATATATATATATATATATTTATTAAATTTAATATAGTGTAAAATATATATAAATACAATTGGCTTGTTTTTTATTATTATTATTATTTAAAGAACCAAATGTTTTATTGAAAAAAAAAAAAAACTTGCTCAAAATTATACACAATAAAAAATCAATCATTATTCACAAAATTTATGTTTTATTTTTAATAAGTATAAATAAAGAATTAATAAATTAATTTAAAAAAAAATAAAACAATACAATAAACAAATGTTATTCTTATATACACAATAATAATACTAATAATTACAATAATATTTTTATAAATTGGGGGTTATATTTTATTAATTATTATTATTACATAATTATTTACATTAATAAATAAATAAATGATTGTGAAAAGTAATTTTTTTATCTGGTAATTTTTTTTTTAACCGTTGTAACATTTGACGTGTCACGAGTTATACCGTTTTTTTGTATATAATCCTGATCCCTCATCCAAAGTCTTTCGCAAATAATATTTAAAATGGGAGCAATTTCATGGACTTCGTTTCTTCCCGAGGACCATTTATTTTCTATTTTTAATACAGGTATTTGAGTTTTCATTTCGAAATCTTTTACGTCGTATTGTGTTACTTCTAATTGCGTTTTCGATTTGTACCTTTGATTAAAACAAAAAAAACAAAATCAATTTAAAGTGAAAATTTTTTTTAAAAATTCATTTGGAGATTTAGGTCGATGTTGTTGTTGTTGCGATATAAAAGAGAGAAAAAAAAAATGTAGTGACATTTAACCTTGTGCCAATAACAATGACGGCCGGTTGTTGTTCTTCGAAAGATTTTGCATGAGTCGTTATTAATTTAGGTAAATCCAAAAGACTTGATTTATCCGTGAAGGAAAATAAAAAAACAACAGCATCCGCTTTCTTTTGACACGATGATAATATGTGACCGTATTTTTTACAATTATTATCACCGTAATCCCAAAATTGTAATTTAAATATTAATATTTTATCCCATATTTTAACCGGCCAATAAACGTTTGTTTTTTGTATTCCGATTGTTTCGTAATAATCGTTTGTACATTTCAATCCAGCCAAACGAGCGATTGTCGCCGTTTTTCCAATACCGGAACTTCCGATAAAAAAAAGTTTATAAGAAACTTCTTCGACGTTCGATGGTACTCCCGGTCTTTCTAACAAACCTATAAACGTTATTTTATTTATTTAACCGAAGAAAATGTGTTTCTGTGTTAAAATGGAGTAAAAAAACAAAACTCACCAAATAATTTTCTACCAGACGTTTGAGGATTATAAAAATATTGTAAAATAGTTTCTCCTTCTGCGGTACTTTGCCAGTCCATTGACACGGTCGGAGAAAAAGTCATTTTTTAACTAAATAAAAAAAATATGAGGAGGAAGAATAAAAAGTTCACTTTAGCGTATCGACCCAGTCGTCGTACCTTGGTTGCCTAGGTAACCGAGTTTAACATAACATCTTGTTAGGTTTACAAAACCAGGTTTCAGGCACGTAATTAATGACTTGTAAAAAACAAAAATGGTCTTTACATTTTCAATTTTTTGGTTTATTTTATTTTATTTGCAATTTTTATTTATGTCTCAAATGACATACGTTTTGTAATACAAAAAAAATGTTATTAATGTTATTATTATTAAACTTTTTTTTTTTACTACGGTCAAAACAATAAGAATTTTATTCTTTCGTTACATTCAACGAAAACAAAAACAAAAACAATTAAAATAATAATAAATTGGATTAACTAATGAATAAAATTTTAAAAAAAAAAAAAAGTAATTAAAACAAACAAATTAATAATACATAAATAAAATTATTGGAATGCAATTGTTGTAATGAAAAACGTTTTGTTTACTTTTTGTTACTTTTTATTTATTTATTTATAAATATTATTATTTTATATTAATTTTTAAATTATAAATATAATATATTTTTATTCGAATATATTTCGATTAAAATAATTTAAGTACTGATAATCTATTTATTATTATTATTATTCAATTTTATTTTTATTAAATTAAATTAAATTAATAATTAAAATTTTCTATATATATATATATAGAATAATAATTTTTTTTTTCTAATTATATTTAATTCGGAAAAAAAAAAGTAAACAATTTTTCACTGCAAAATCATAACATTTATAAAATTATTAAACATATTTTACTAGTCAACAATTAATTATTTGGTCAAAACTAACAAATATATATTAATTAAAAAAAAAAAAAAAACACAAATTAACTTAATGAACACTATAAATTTATAAATTTATAAAAAAAAAAACAAAATTAATAATTTTTGTCTGTATTAATTAAAATAAGAAATTATCATTTTGAGGTGATGTACTTGAATTATTAATTCAATGACATTACAATACTAACAACTAGAGAAAGGAATAATTTTTAAATCTGTAACAAACTGCAAATGCTATTGTCGCCATGATGGTAGCAGTGGCTGCTGTTCCTAGCATTTTCGTCCATGAGGTATAGTTTTTCTAAAAATATATAAATTTAATAAAAATAGTTTAGTTACTTTCGGAATGATTTTACATAGCTTTAATTTTCGAAACTTGGTAACGTAAATGAAAAATTTATTGAAGTTTTTTTTGTTGCATAATCAGGTGTAACTTACCTTAGAATTTTTGTCAAATTTTCCATCATTTTTTTCTTGTCCAAACATTTTTCTGTATAATTTTTTTTCATGTTGTTTTTCTGTTTGTTGCAGTTTGACGCAGCGACTCAATTCCATTTTAATAGCACTGTTTTCAGGTTCTAATAAATATGCTTGCCTTAAAACTTCCACTGCTTTATTTATTTCACCTTTGGCAGCTAATATTTTTCCTTTTCTAAATAATGCTTTAACATTTTTCGAATCACATTGAAGAACTCTATTAACAGACATTAAGGCAGATTCATATGCTTCTAACATTAATTGAGCAGCGGCTAAATTGTTATATATGACTAATTTTTGTTCAATTATTTCTTTAACTTGATCATCTGTGTAATTTATCGTACTTTCATCCTCTTCACAGAATGGTATAGTTTCATCTAACATATTTAATGCTTTTCTATAACATTGAGTAGCTTTGGTGGCATCTTGACGAGAATACCACCAATTACCCCTTTCTTTTTTGTTATTAGCTAATATTTTTCTTTTTGTGAATGAGATTTTTTCCAAATTAGGCTCAGGTAACACATTTACCAAGGTTACCTCATATGTGATTGTGGCATTAGGAGGGATTTTAGGCAAATTCCCGACTGAACCATATCCGAACCTAGGAGATACGACAACTATTGCTTCTTCTCCCACATTCATTAAAGGAACTGCTAATTCTACACCTTGTACTACCTCATGGGAACCCAACTCAATTTTTAAGGAGTCAAAATTTTCAACAATTTTCCCATCGTTTAATTTTCCTAAAAGTCTAATTTCGCATATATCATTGGCTTGAGGTCTAGAATCCGGTTCTCCTTGTTTAATAGTTTTTAATTTTAATTGTCCATTTCCAAGAATATCAATCCATTCATCTTTTGGTTCGTCTAAACATTTGGAAGCTTTGCTATCATTTTTACCGTTATTTTCTGAATCATTTTCACTAATTGCTGTAGAATTAGAAAATGTAGGACTGATTTCTTCGTTCTTGGGCATAACCGATGAATCGGCAACATTTAAATCGTCACTCAATTGCACGGCAGGCATTTTTTATTAATTTTAAGTCAATTTTAAATTTATTTTTATTAAATTTACACGATGTAAATAAATATAAGTATCTCTTTATTACGTTTTTTTAATTAAAACTCGAATTACAACATTATATAATTTAAAAATATTTATCCGAAAATTTTAACCTTAAATCGAAATAACAATAAGCAATCTAATCATGCCTAAGAATCCATTTTTAAAGTATTTGTCTTCTGATTAAATTTTCTTCTTCCACGATAAATGTTTTTGATTTCCGAAACAATCAAGAGTTCAGAATATTCTAAATTCTGAAAAATATTTTCAAAATGATATTTTTACCATCATCAATAGGTGGTGCATCATTTTCGGCCAAAAGTATAAAAGTTATTCGTTTAATTAAATATGGATGCGCCAATAGGCCTTTTTTTCACATATCCGTAATGGAGGTAAGTTTCATAAAAAGTTTTAAAATATTTTATAAAGGAGCTAGGTAAAAAACATTTATAAATTTTATTTCCAGAGGCATAAAGAACCAACAGAACAAGTTATTGAACAAATTGGAAACTACGATCCTCTTCCAAATCAAGATAATGAAAAATTAGTGGCCATAAATTTTCAGAGGTTAGAATATTGGCTAAGTCAAGGTGCTAAAGTCACTCTTCCTGTGCAAAACTTATTAGGTGCGTTTTTATTATTTTCATTTCAAGTAAAAAAAAAAAAAACAATTTTTTAATATTAGCACATCAGATGTAATTGATTTTTATTTATCATATTATTTTAGGTTTATCAGGTTACTTTCCTATTCATTATAATACATACAGAACAGCATGGAATAACAGAAATAAAATTGAAAAACATTTAATCGATTTAAGAGCCAAAGTAAATGAAATTCAAAAATCGCAAGATGTGTCGAATTGAATTAATTGATCTGTTCAAAAGCCAGTTCCTTTGTCAGTTTAATATAGATTTAAATAAATTATTTCTCTTTGCATACAAAGAAAAAAATGAATAATTGAAGTATAATAATTTAAAATCGTTCACGATATTTAATAATTATTATATAAATGAGTGAATTTCAATTTTTAGTGTCTAGTAATTAATTGTAAAAATTTTTTTTTATTCAATTAATTTTTTACAGTATTTTTATTAATGTTATTAATAAAAAAAATTTAAACTTTTAATTTGTTATTTTTATTTCATCTCCTGCGACTAGTTATTAATACTTCATTTGTAATATATTAATTTTTTAATACATGTTATTTTTAACATTGTATGTTTGTTTTTATTTACTGACAAACTTAAAGTTTTCTAACAAAACAAAACAAATTTTTGAATAAGACATTTATTAGAATTATTTTATTCATGTCTTACATTGCAATGTTGTTTATTAAAAAAAAAAAAAAATAAATAAATAAACATAAAAAAATAAAAATATCGAGTTAGTATAACTTCACTTTTGTCTACTCGAAAACTTTATTTTTAATTAAAATCAAGAAGAAACATTGCTCTAAATATTTAACAACATACAGTTAATAACAAACAACGTTTTAAATTATTCATTTAAGTACTTTCAATTAAACAGAAAGTTTAATTTTAAAATTTCATCTCACTGATAAAATTTAACATTTGCATTTGTAAAAATTTTGACATTGAGCTCCTTATGTACTTATATTTATTTATTTTTAAATTAACAAATCTTCAAATTTTAAAATTTCAAAAATAAAAAAAACTATTTAAATTAATCAAATAAAATTTACATAAATAATTTATTGTTAGTAGTGTCCTTGCAAATTAAATTAAACAAATGCTTAAGACAGGAAATCTAAAATTTGAATTTATTTATAAACAAATTTTAACCGTTCGTTAAAAAAAAAAAAAATGTGGTAAAGAGAACTCTACCGGCTAATTTTGAAATTAATAAGTTGAAAAAATGGCAGTGTGGATCACAGTCGTCAGAAGAACATTGCGGGGAGGAAAACGTTTTATTTTTAAAACGAATTCGTTAAAATTTTACTGTTCGATGTCGTAGACAAAAATAAATTATTAATATTATTTGTGACTAATAATAAAATCAAAAAATATTAGTAATATTACGATGTAAAATTGTTTTTTTTATTTGTAATTTCGCGTGGAAAAAAATAAAAATTTTTTTTTTTCTCATAATTTCTGGCGGGTAAAACGGATGTTATTATTTTGTGAGTGGTTTATGGATGAAAATTTTTTGGAATAAAAGGTAAGTTGTTTTTTTTTTTCTTTTTTAAACATGAATACACTTTTGAACTTAAATTACTATTATTATTATTACATTCACGTCAAATGCAAACATTAATTAATGTCATATATAACCGTAAAAATTTACCAAAATCTACACATGAATAAAATAATATTTTTAATGAGCAGATTTTAGAATTTAATTCTTTAGAATTATTTTTTTCTCTTTATCATTTTCATAACTGCAAAAATTTCTAAGTAAATCGGGTTATGAATGATTAATATATATAATAAATTCGTAAATGAAAAAAATATCATATTAAAATTAATTCGTAACGTTTTTTTTTTTTTAATCGTTTGACCGTTATTATTCTGGAACGTTACGAACGGGACGCACTCTTCAGGGAAAAAAACGCATTTAAAATCCCTCATTAAAATTAATTAATTTAAATGATTCATACTCTATAAAAGGAAAAAAATTTTTTTTTTTTTTATCGTTTGCGGTAATTAGAATACGTAAAACAATATAATCTAATGGTTTGCTACAAATCAATTTTTGCTACGGTTTTAAATTATTATTTTAAATCTCTCCCCTAAAAAAAAAAAAATTCTCAAAACATTTGTATTTTCATTTTCATTGTTATTTTCTTCTCAATTCCTCACGGTAAATTATAATTTTGAATTTAGTGGGAATACAAAATATTTGCTCCCTTTTGTCTGTTTATTGTAAAAAAAACATTTTTTTTTTGTTGTTGTTCAGACAAAAAAATTGTTTTTTTTTTTTAAATTAATCCAAAAATAAAATTACATCCGATAAAAAACAAACATTTCACTTTAGTTTTTTTTCTTTATGAAACTTAATTTTACACGTGGTTAAAATATAAAATTTTTATTATGCAAAAAAAAATAAAAAAACGTAGAAAAACTTTTTTTTTTTTTTTATCCGGTGAATAAATTGAATATAATTTTTAATAAAGAAAAAAAGAAAGAAAGAAAAATAATAAGGAAAACCTGAAAAATCTGCAAGGCGAGCACAATTACGACCGTTAATAAATATATATATATATTTACACGAATAACATAAAACAAAAAAAAAAGAGGAAAACAGTAAATATAACCGAGGAAAAAATGAATGAAAAAATTGCTGCAGGAAAAGTGATTTTTTAAAGAAAAAAAAAAAATAGAAGAAGAAGAAAAAAAACGAGCATCATAAAGGACGCCCTGGAGGGAATGATAAACGGTAAAAGTAGAATAAAAAGATGAAAAACTCAAATCCGTGGAGACATTAAGTGTTGTGCACTTAGGAAAAAGCTGAAAGGATTTGAAAAAAAAATGGCGAACACTGTAGAATATCAGCTTTTTAGCAACAAAAAAAATATGAAATGATTAAAGATTATTAAAATTTAATAACACGTTGACGAGATGAGAGACAGAGACAGAGAGAGAAAGAGAGATGAAAAAAAAAAAATTTTTTAACTACGAAAAATGGAGAGGGGAGCATGAAGCCTGGGAGGGGGGGGCAAAAATAAAATATATTATTTATTTATTAATAATAATTAACTTTGATATTCGTATAAAATTATTAAAATCGTTCCCTCGTTTTTATGATTATTCGTTTAAAAAAAAAAAAAACGCGCGAGTGAAATGATAATAATAATAATGATAATATGATAATGATAATAATCATGATGATGAAAGATTTTCGTTGAGAAAATTACCGAAAGGGAAAATTATTAGGAAATACTTAAAAAAAACTTTTAAAAAAAAATTTTTTTTTAAATAAAAAACTAAACGACTAAAAGCTTTAAAAAGGCATTTTAATAAATTTATCTAGTCCCCCTCCCCCCCATTTTTTAATGGTGAAATTTTAAAGATTTTATAAAAATTATGCGGGAGTAAAACAAATTTATATATATATATATATTTTTTTTTTCCCATTCTTTCCACTCGGATTTATTTTTCTACGTACACGATCAAATTATTCAAATAAAAAAATAAAAAATAAAAATAAAATATGACAGGTAAAAAAAAAAAAAAAAAAATAAAAGTAAAATAATTTATGTATCTTTTCTTTTCTGGGGAGAACGAAATAAAAAAAAGGTCGAATTACAAAAAAAAAAAAAGCAAAAAGGAAAAAAAAAAAAGGAAAAAAAGGTTTCCAAATTTATTTTGTCTTTGACTAAGTCAGCAACAAATTCATTTTAAAGAAAAGCTAAATCGTAACGGAAAAAAAAAAAAACAGAAAACATAAAAAAAAATAAATAAAATTTTTTTTTTATTTTTCTTTTACTTCAAACAACATTGGAAACGTAAAAAAAATGAAAAGAAAATGAAAATTATAATGTTGTAGTGTTGTTGTTGTTCTTGTTGTTCAATGTTTTTCTTGTTCCACGACTAAAAAGCAAAAAAAAAAGAAAATTGATAAATAATAACTTTTAAATTTTCAATTTTTTTGAATTTGTACTAGTAGTAATAGTAGTAGTTCGTTCCAAGTAGTTTTTCCTAGTAGTGAAAATTTTTCCAACGTGGAAAATTTGATGATGATAAAAAATGAAAAATTTTCTTAGAATATTGATTTTTCCTTTTTTTTTATGAAAATATAAATTACCGGTTCTTAATACCTTTAAGAATTTATTAAGTGGAGAACTTTAATGGAAATATAGTCTATATATATTTGGGGGTGAAAATTTTCATTTTAAAAGATTTTCCAAGACTTTGACGCACACCCATTTTAATTCGAAGCTTATTATTATTATTATTATTATTATTATAAGTAAATACCAAATGCCAAATTTAAATTGGTTTAATTTAAAATTTTGAATTTACGGTCCAAAATTCCAGTTTCCAGTCGAGATACGATTATTCATAAAACCATTTTATAGAATCGCATTTCATAAAAAAAAAAAAAAAAAAAACTTTTTTTGTTTATTGTGGCGGTGGGTAAAGACCTTTTGTTTCTCGGCTGTTTTACATAAAAAAACATTTTTGAAATTCGCTTCAAGTATTTTATCATCATCATCATCATTATTATTATTATGATTATTATTTTTTGTTTTTCCCCGAGAATTTATATAATAAACCATTTTTAGTATATATATATATTTAAAAAAAAAAAAAAAACGTAAAAAATCAGTGCGTGCGTGTAATATTAAATTTCATTTTACTTTTCCCCTTAGATTAATATTAATAATAATTATTATAACGAATTTTCAAATCTCCGGTGTAAAAATGGATTTCTTTAAAAGGAAAAAAATTTTCCGAAACGGATGTTCGACACACTATGTTAAAATTTTAAAAAAAAAAAATTGTTTGTTCGTCTAATCGTCATTTCCGGTCGTTATAAATTACAAACGATATAACAACCGATAACCGTCGTAACAGCATGATACGATACTTAGAAATACAATGACTGTAATAATAATAATAATAATTTTGTTTTGTTTGACTAAACTTCAAATGCATAATAATGATAAACTATTAATTCGTTGAACTATTTTGGATAGTGTTAATTATTGAAATAAAACCTGAAATTAAAAGGGTCTTTGTTAAACAATATGGATGATTTTGTTTGTTTTTGTTTGTTTGTCGACAGAACGTTTATACAAACCTCGCGAAAACGACCACAAATTATATATATATTGTCGTGGCCCGATTCGATTATCGATTCACAACGTTGATCTTCCTCCGCGTTCGTGGTATTATTCAAG